AAAATCTTAAAGCAGTTACAGGGCCTTCCCAATCAGGTAGCCAACAAAGCAGTCTACACATTAATTGGAGCAGTACCAATCCGTATGGTGATAGACAGAAATATGCTATCCTTGTAAATGAACATAATAAGAAACAATAACCCATTAGAATTTCAAATCCTGGAAGGTCAAGTTGCAATGAAAAATGAAAAAAGCAACATATTTATAAATAGAGTAGAGGAAGCTCTGACAAAGTACAGGATGGAACCGGTTGAGAATCTTATGAAACACCCAAAATCAAAGGAAAAATGGAAAAGGATAGTTAGATATCATCAAAATAAATACTGGCATGAAATATGCCTTGAAGACCAATCCAATAAAAAGACATTGGCATATCTTCAAATACAGGAAAACCCATCATTTATGCCGCATAATATCTGGCAGTGTACAGGAAACAACCCTACAAATGTGAAAACAGGAGAAATAAAGAGCAGGCTAGTAACACAAACGTATATGCTACAGACAGTAAGGTCTAGACACAATAAGAATATATCCCCAATATGTACATTGTGCAATACAGCAAATGAAGACCTAGAACACTTCATACTCTCATGCAATAGGCATACGCATACACGTGAAGTCCCGTGAAAGGCACCTCCAGAAAATAAAATTATACCTGGACAACTTAAAGAATGGTCTCTATCAGAACTTAGTTAACTGTACCATGCTTGTACAAATTCTGATGGCCTGTACTCACAAAAGCATTAACTATGGATTCCATATGAAACATCAACAATACATAGAGCTAGAAAACCTCACACGACTGTTCTGCTACGACATGCATACCAGTAGAATGAGGCAGATGGCAGGGTAGGGGCGAGGGTGTAGTGACAGTTTATGTAGAAGCATATTATTTATTAAAAAATAACGACAATCCGGTTGGCTATTTACCTACATGCATCGTTTATTTGGCCATTTTACAGCATAGTGCTTTAACATTCTCTTTTCCTGCATATTTACCACATAGTGCTTTAGTGTACCTAAATTTTAAATATATTTACATATTCTGCAGATCAACGAATACATCCAATATTAACAGTATGTCCAAAATATGACATTAACATTTAGTGCTTACCTATAGACTGCTATAAAGCTAATGTATATATTCGCACACCTAGCATAAATTAGCAACTAGTATTTTAAGCATGGAGCAGTGAAGATGATCACATCCGTCTTAATCGTAACTTCACTGTAATGTACGACATGCCAAGAAATCCTCGCTAAAAATTCCGGTCGACCTCCTACGGCATCCATTAGTAGTTAAAGATTTGATTTCATTCAATAAATTAATTTATGACCCGCGTGTACGTCTCACTTAAAACACAGCCATATACCAAATGGTCAAAATTAATCATCCATGTAATTTGCTCTATGGGATGTTTGCAAAATATCAACGGAGGCAATTTCTTGGCATGGGAGAAAGGAAGAAAGACCATTCACAATTTGTCTTACATTTGTTTTTATCTCTATCAATTAAATAAAAAAAAAATTAAACCTTTCAGATGTAGAGTTCATCAGAAGGAAATATTCCCTGTGGAACACCCCCACCCCCTTTTTGTGCTCTCTATTTTCAACCCTCTAATCTAATTAAAATTAAAACTTTGATTTCTAACCGATCTATTCATGTACCGGACCGGCAACTTTTTTCATTTAATAAGAAAATCTACAGTGCCGTCATACACATGCATGTTGATTGCTTGGAGTCCCCGCCCGAAAAGAAAGAAATAGTCTAACTCCAAGATACTATATTCCTGAATCACGTGATTTTTACTACGTGGAGCTTAAATTAGAATAAATACCGAATATGGAAAGTGAAACTATAATTCATAACATAAAGTCCGTAGGCAAATAGAAGAAAAGAAGATTATTTTTGGCAAAGGGTACCGGGGTAATCCTCATTGTGTTCAAAATATACATGAAATATTTGCCACTGCCCCTTGTCTCGGTTCTATGAATGTTTACCCTGAGTTTTCTATCTGTTACATGCCAAGAAATCCTCGCTAAAAATTCCCGTCGACCTCCTACGGCATCCATTAGTAGTTAAAGATTTGATTTCATTCAATAAATTAATTTATGACCCGCGTGTACGTCTCACTTAAAACACAGCCATATACCAAATGGTCAAAATTAATCATCCATGTAATTTGCTCTATGGGATGTTTGCAAAATATCAACGGAGGCAATTTCTTGGCATGGGAGAAAGGAAGAAAGACCATTCACAATTTGTCTTACATTTGTTTTTATCTCTATCAATTAAATAAAAAAAAAATTAAACCTTTCAGATGTAGAGTTCATCAGAAGGAAATATTCCCTGTGGAACACCCCCACCCCCTTTTTGTGCTCTCTATTTTCAACCCTCTAATCTAATTAAAATTAAAACTTTGATTTCTAACCGATCTATTCATGTACCGGACCGGCAACTTTTTTCATTTAATAAGAAAATCTACAGTGCCGTCATACACATGCATGTTGATTGCTTGGAGTCCCCGCCCGAAAAGAAAGAAATAGTCTAACTCCAAGATACTATATTCCTGAATCACGTGATTTTTACTACGTGGAGCTTAAATTAGAATAAATACCGAATATGGAAAGTGAAACTATAATTCATAACATAAAGTCCGTAGGCAAATAGAAGAAAAGAAGATTATTTTTGGCAAAGGGTACCGGGGTAATCCTCATTGTGTTCAAAATATACATGAAATATTTGCCACTGCCCCTTGTCTCGGTTCTATGAATGTTTACCCTGAGTTTTCTATCTGTTACATGCCAAGAAATCCTCGCTAAAAATTCCGGTCGACCTCCTACGGTATCCATTAGTAGTTAAAGATTTGATTTCATTCAATAAATTAATTTATGACCCGCGTGTACGTCTCACTTAAAACACAGCCATATACCAAATGGTCAAAATTAATCATCCATGTAATTTGCTCTATGGGATGTTTGCAAAATATCAACGGAGGCAATTTCTTGGCATGGGAGAAAGGAAGAAAGACCATTCACAATTTGTCTTACATTTGTTTTTATCTCTATCAATTAAATAAAAAAAAAATTAAACCTTTCAGATGTAGAGTTCATCAGAAGGAAATATTCCCTGTGGAACACCCCCACCCCCTTTTTGTGCTCTCTATTTTCAACCCTCTAATCTAATTAAAATTAAAACTTTGATTTCTAACCGATCTATTCATGTACCGGACCGGCAACTTTTTTCATTTAATAAGAAAATCTACAGTGCCGTCATACACATGCATGTTGATTGCTTGGAGTCCCCGCCCGAAAAGAAAGAAATAGTCTAACTCCAAGATACTATATTCCTGAATCACGTGATTTTTACTACGTGGAGCTTAAATTAGAATAAATACCGAATATGGAAAGTGAAACTATAATTCATAACATAAAGTCCGTAGGCAAATAGAAGAAAAGAAGATTATTTTTGGCAAAGGGTACCGGGGTAATCCTCATTGTGTTCAAAATATACATGAAATATTTGCCACTGCCCCTTGTCTCGGTTCTATGAATGTTTACCCTGAGTTTTCTATCTGTTACATGCCAAGAAATCCTCGCTAAAAATTCCGGTCGACCTCCTACGGCATCCATTAGTAGTTAAAGATTTGATTTCATTCAATAAATTAATTTATGACCCGCGTGTACGTCTCACTTAAAACACAGCCATATACCAAATGGTCAAAATTAATCATCCATGTAATTTGCTCTATGGGATGTTTGCAAAATATCAACGGAGGCAATTTCTTGGCATGGGAGAAAGGAAGAAAGACCATTCACAATTTGTCTTACATTTGTTTTTATCTCTATCAATTAAATAAAAAAAAAATTAAACCTTTCAGATGTAGAGTTCATCAGAAGGAAATATTCCCTGTGGAACACCCCCACCCCCTTTTTGTGCTCTCTATTTTCAACCCTCTAATCTAATTAAAATTAAAACTTTGATTTCTAACCGATCTATTCATGTACCGGACCGGCAACTTTTTTCATTTAATAAGAAAATCTACAGTGCCGTCATACACATGCATGTTGATTGCTTGGAGTCCCCGCCCGAAAAGAAAGAAATAGTCTAACTCCAAGATACTATATTCCTGAATCACGTGATTTTTACTACGTGGAGCTTAAATTAGAATAAATACCGAATATGGAAAGTGAAACTATAATTCATAACATAAAGTCCGTAGGCAAATAGAAGAAAAGAAGATTATTTTTGGCAAAGGGTACCGGGGTAATCCTCATTGTGTTCAAAATATACATGAAATATTTGCCACTGCCCCTTGTCTCGGTTCTATGAATGTTTACCCTGAGTTTTCTATCTGTTACATGCCAAGAAATCCTCGCTAAAAATTCCGGTCGACCTCCTACGGCATCCATTAGTAGTTAAAGATTTGATTTCATTCAATAAATTAATTTATGACCCGCGTGTACGTCTCACTTAAAACACAGCCATATACCAAATGGTCAAAATTAATCATCCATGTAATTTGCTCTATGGGATGTTTGCAAAATATCAACGGAGGCAATTTCTTGGCATGTGTATATATATATAATATGTAAATAACAACATAGTATTTGTGCAGCACGCTTTTACCGTTACCGTTATATATATATACATGCATGAATTGGTGGATTAGTGGCACGTTCCTTTGTGTGTAATATGAGTTTTTAGTGGGTGCGGGTGTATATTTGTATATATAGCGCATTAGCCATCCTACTATGTAGTCTGAGTGCGCCGATCTAGAACGGCGATTCATACCTGTATATAGAAAGAAAGAAAGATATATAACCTTACTTATAAGATTTTTAAACACGAGATTGGTTGATGAGTTCCAGTGGGCTCAGAAGTATTTTTTTTTCTTAAAGTTTACGGCGACGGATGACATAGGTGAGCTCATACAAATTTTCCGGAAGCTTAAGTGTTGGTTTTGTCCGACATTGACTTAAATTTACAGTCGCCATTACCGGAAGTGAAGGTCACAAAATAAATTTCCCAAAACCTTTATCAAGTCTTCAGAAAATGTATGCCTTTTGTAGGTTGACACACACACATTACTCCCAGTCAGATGATATACAACTTAATTGATTTATTTTATATGTTTAAGATACACATATATTTCTTCATACATCATAATTGACATGCCACGGCTAGATGTTTCGCCGTGCTGTCTCTATATGATTTGTGTAACTTGGCGCACTCTTAAAGATGATAAGATGTATCTGTATGAGTGCGTTGTGGATACCGATACTGGCTTTGATAAAACTATAGAGAAAGCACTGTCGATTTATTGACGGTGTGCGAGAGCAATTTTGAAGCTTTCAACGCTCGGTGCACGCACTACAGTGTCAGTGTCTTCAATGTGGTTCCACTCTATCTATCACTCTTTTCAGAAAGAATGAGTTTAAATCTTCTTAACTTGTTTTTCCACAATATTTATTGCCTGGTAGTTGTCAAATTTCTTGGCTGAAATTGTTCTTTTTGGACGTGGCCATGCTTTTTATTCCCCCACTGTAGGCTACGGGGGCATAATTAAGTGTTCCCTTGACTGTTTGTCTGTCCGTCCCATTTTCATTTGTTTGAAGCTTTAGCAGGGGCATTCATGTCCTCAGACACATTCTTCTATTATTAAAAATATTCGTCTGCATGGTTCTGTAGCAGGAACCAACCCCTCAACCACTTTTTATAGGTATATTTGGCCAAAAAAATATATACAGTATGTCTGTTTAACGTGAGAGGTACGTAAATCAGCGCCTCTAACAGAAGACGGGAAAAATTACGTTCATTGTTATGAGAGTTACAATGTATCTCCTTTACCATGTTTACACCAGAACATTTGTTTTTCAAGATGTCGGGAGATTCCGCCTCGTCAGAAAAATACATTATTACGGTGGAACTGAACTCAATACACTTCATCAGCATTTATCAAAAAGTGTAGTTCATGTACTTATTGTACACAAAATTTCTTACCCGAGTGAAACAGGTCTTTAATAATTAAGCATGGCGTGATGGTCAGAGAGTGGTTGAGTAGGGTTTATTGGATGACCAACTAAAAGCTTGGAAGAAGAGCTATGCACTATTGTTTTTCCACAACTCTTTTGTAGAAAACAGACGCCGTCTTGGAAGTATATTGTATATACATTGTAATACCTTGTTGCAATTGTCCCTACACTAACTTATAAGCACTGGAAAAGTGCACAGATCAGACTTAAAAAGGGGGTTGCTGATATATTGGCCGTGAACACAAAATGAAGTAAAATTATAAACACTTGTATATACACTTTGGGCTTTGCTCATTGTTGAAGGCCATACAGTGACCTATAGTTGTTAATTTCTGTGTCATTTGGTCTCTTGTGGAGAGTTGTCTCATTGGCAATCATACCACATCTTCTTTTTTATATACACATGCACATGGAATATAATAGATTAAAACTTCTGCTATAATGTTTGCTTTTTTTTCATTTCATATATTGATCGGTTGACATACATTATATTTGCATGAAAAGAAATAAGTTTGTCTCGCAAAACAACTGACACACCATTCCATTGTTGACATTAAAGAGAGAAAATTTTTTGTCATGCTTATTACTGATATCCTTAAGTTGATATTCATGCTAGATAATCACTTTCCAACTTAAAAATAAAAACATTTGAACGTTCATAATTATCAAAACTGTTGTTTACCGTGCTTTCTTTCATGTCTGCAATGCGGTCTATAAATAGAAGAAGAAAGTACTAAGCGTAAAATTTAATTTACATTGTAAATATTGAAACAAAAGTTTAAAAAAAAATTTGCAGGTGTGGCATGAATTTTGATAATATAATGTCTGAAGTATAAGAGAGGGAAGAGGGACAGAAAATTGAATGCAAATCATAAAAGGGGAGAGGGGACCATTGTCCTTGTACATAGACGAACGGGAGGTAAAATGGCAATTTCGAGATGAACACAAAAAATTTTTTTTTTGGATATACATTATATATGTTTAGTACCCAATATTGGAAACTGATGGTTATCACTATCATGAAGCTGTCAAGATCATGTGTGTACACTCAGTCCCAGCATTCTCTTACGAGACTACTAAATACATGTACTCTATTGTTGAGGTCTCAATGTTAACAATCAATCAAAATATTTTGTACATTTGTTTAAAAGGGCAAAAATCTTCTGAAAATGTAAAATTAATCATCATTTTCTATATTCTCAGGTTATCATGTATATTAAACATTTATTGATCTTTTGATTAGCTGGTCCTAGGATTGGGGTAATTGATCTGTTGATTAGAGGGTGTAATGATTAAATGTGTTTATAACAAATTGTTGTTTTTTTAATAAAAAAAGATAATTGTTATTGTCAAAGATGACATTAGGGATATTTTTTCTTTAAAATGAGCCATAAATGAAGATTTTAGTCCAAGAACAGGGTTCCCACTAAGGATTTTTTAAGGTGAGTACAGGAACTCATCATTTTTGGTCAAGAGGAGTCCAACTGAGAAGATAAAATGTTATTGCTATATGGTTTATTATTTCAGTCACCGTGACAAAAATAGAGCAAGGAAATGACATTAAATTTAGATTATCTTTGAACTTTTGTATTAAAATGATGATATATGTGGTCAGTTGATACCATCTTGATGCATCTTTGGACTCACCAGTTTTGAAAATAAGGAGTACAAACAGATTTTCATGAGTCCAGGACTCATGGACTCGCCTTACATGCCTTAGTAAGAACCCTGAAGAAATCAAAAATTTCTGATATACAAGTTTTGAAAAATATCCTAAAAGGTTGAGTCTGACTATTTTTGGGACCCCCTCCCTCCCGCTTCATCTGACTGGTAGCTTTGCAGGCATACCAATTTGACATCACTACCTGCTTTTAACATGTAAGCCTTGGCAGAGATCCTACTTTGTTATCCTTCCTTTTTCCCAAAAAATCAGTTCTTAAGCCTCTTCAAATGAATGAATCAAATGAATCAATAGTTCTGATGGGTCTAATTTTCAATGCCCTTCACATTGATTTTGTCATTAAAAATTAAACCCCATGTGTACAATATAATGAATTGAAATAATTGAACATAATTAAAAAAATTAAAGCTATATCATGCAAAAATCCTACATACCTTCTGCATACATATTGAATAATTTCGCTCTTTTTTAATAATTAGATTACTAGACAATCCCACAATACAGTACAAAGCAAAACTCAAATAAATAAATAAAAGGTTATAATATCAACAACAACAAAAAATCTCCATGATTGCTGTTCATAAAGAGAGAGAGGAAAGAGGAAATGTGTTCTAACACGTATTTCTAATTTGTTGCAGTGCTAACCATGGTGCTATCCAAAAATCTCTCTTTCAATAATTTATCAATCTATGTAATTGCACTAAAGTTTGTAGATTAAGCTTAACCAGAACGTTGATAAATCGAAGATGTGTCAAATAAGCCTTCTATAACTTTGTATAAATAGGCCACCTTCTAGAGAGAGAAAAATGTTGGTGTAATTATTTATGAAAACATACATTGGAGGGAGGGTTGAGCACTCACAAACATGTTTAACCCCACCACAATCTTTTTGTGCCTGTCCCAAGTCAGGAGCCCGTAGTTCAGTGGTTGTCATTGGTTCATGTCTGTCATATTTGTTTTTTGTAAACTGTTTTGTTATAAATTAGGCCGTTAGTTTTCTCAATTGAATTGTTTCGTATTTTTCATGTCAGGACCTTTTATAGCCCACCATACGGTATGGGTTTTTCTCATTGTTGAAGGCCGTACGGTTGCCTATAATTGTTTTCATCCACTTCATTTGAACTTTGTGGATAGTTACAAGTCTCATTGGCAATCATACCACATTTCCTTATTTTTATATAACATTCAAAAGATAACATATTTATCCTAATTTAAGATGATTTAACCCTGAAAACATTTATAGGAGTCTACTACTCAGTCTAGTGATTCAATCATGCACAATTATTTAAAGACACTAGGAATTCATGAGTCATCGTTCTTCAACCAGATCACTTAGTTAACCCTAACCCTAATATTCCTACAATAAAGCATGAAAGAAATGTAATTTGATTATATATTGATTATCTTGTAAAATTTGTACAACACAAATACTGCAGTGCAATAATTCCTGCAGTTAACAGTTAACAACACAAATTGATATCTCCTTCTAATCAATTGCAGCTCACTTTTTTTATGCCCCCGCCATGGCGGAGGGGGCATTAAGTTTTACCCTTGTCCGTCTGTAGTACGTACGTCCGTACATCCCAAAATTGGTTTACGTTCTCTAGCTATAGTTTGCCTCAACCAAATGTTATGAAATTTATACACAATGCTTTTTACCACAAAACACAGATCAAGTTTGAATTTTGGTGGCGTCACTTTTACCTTTCTAGAGTTATGCCCCTTTACAAATGGAAAAATTGCTGAATTTTTCGTTTCCATTCTCAAACTTTAGTTTGCCTCAACCAAATGTTATGAAACTTATACACAATGCTTGTTACCACAAAACACAAATCGAGTTTGAATTTTGGTGGCGTCACTTTTACTGTTCTAGAGTTATGCAAGTGGGGGCATCATCTGTGTCCCATGGACACATTCCCCATTTATTTCTAGATAGTTTAAGTACATGTACATGTATGCTCTATAAAAAGTAAAATCACAAAAATACTGAACTCTGAGGAAAATTCAAAAAGGAAAGTCCCCAATCAAATGGCAAAATCAAAAGTTCAAACACATCAAACGAATGGATAACAACTGTCATATTCCTGACTTGGTACAGGCATTTTCTTATGTAGAAAATGGTGGATTGAACCTGGTTTTATAGCTAGCTAAACCTCTCACTTGTATGACAGTCGCATCAAATTCCATTCTATTGACAACGATGCGTGAACAAAACAAACAGACACAATAGGTAAAAATGTCAAAAATAGGGGTACAGCAGTCAACATTGTGTTATCATCTTAATCACTATAAAAACAAACAAATGTAACGAAGAAGCACAAATAGGCATACATCAAATTTAACATCCTCATTTTGCTTATATTATACGATTTTATTTATCTATTTTAAATCCACCCATAAAGGATGGAAGGTTTTAAGTATTGGTGTAAAATCACGCGTTTGAAATTCGCACAGGTATACATAAAATAATTTTGTCGTTCAAAGTATGATGGATACATAAATACAGAGTCACGTAAAATGGATATCACAAAAAACAGACTTAACAGTAAAAGTAATATTAATAAATAAAATAATTGTGTTGTCCAAAGTATGACGGGATACATAAGTACAGAGTCACGTCAAATGTATAAAATAATGGTTAATGTTTTATTTTTTCAGAGATTTGAAGCTTAAAACCAGAAGAAGAATGATGTGACATTAATTACATCCATTTAAGGTGAGAAATATTTCAGACTGGTAGGATTCAATAAAGTTTACACTAAGTAAAATTTAGCTGTATCGATTTTATGGATGGTTACATTGTTCAATATTGGTCTGGTGACAACTTATAATAATTAAGTAAAGAAAAATAATAAAAAAAACAAGTGGACTATCAAAAACATCAATTCATTCAAAGACAGGCAACAAATATGGCCAGAAGAAGGTACAAAATGACAAACAGAAGTCAGTAAAGCAATACACACAAACAGACAAGTTCCCAAATTTTTTACACCATGGGTTAATCTTAATGGCTAAGTTAGCAAAAATATACCCTCACAATATTAGCCAAAAAATGAACACCACATCACAAACTTATTGGATTTTCTTCAACTTGTTTCATATTTCTCTCTGTCTCCCAAATGGTGGAATAAGATAATCTTGAGAAAGAAAGGGGGGTTAAACTGTGAATGGCAAAAACATCACAGGTTGAACATCAATTATGGATAACATCAACATTTATCTGGCTAATATTCCAAGTAGTTTGAGGTCAAAACATAGTCATGGTCTCTGAGACTCTCTCCCTAACTAGGCTATTTTTTCAACAAAAGTGAAGTTTATGGAGCATTAACATGCATGTGTACAACATTTTTTACCCCCAAAGGATGATTAGTGTACAAATATTTTTAACCCCTGATGTTTTGTTGGTGTACAACATTTTTAACCTCTGATGTTTGGTTGATAGACATTGTGCAAAATTTTAACCCCTGGGTTTGGTTGATGAACATTGTACAACATTTTTAACCTCTGACGTTTGGTTGATAGACATTGTACAACATTTTTAACCTCTGACGTTTGATTGATAGACATTGTACAACATTTTTAACCTCTGACGTTTGGTTGATAGACATTGTACAACATTTTTAACCTCTGATGTTTGGTTGGTGTACATTGTAAAACATTTCTAACCCCTGATGGTTGGTTGATGTAGATTGTACAACATTCTAATCCCTGATGTTTGGTTGAAGTAGATTGTACATCATTTTAACCCCTGATGTTTAGTTTGTATACAAGATTTTTAGACCCTGATGATTACCTGTACTTGGAATACAACATTTTTAGACTGGTGTTACATTGGTGCCTAACAGTTTTAACCCCTGATGTTTGGTTGGTGTACAACAGTTTTAATCCCTGATATTTGGTTAGTGTACAACAGTTTTAATCCCTGATATTTGGTTAGTGTACAACAGTTTTAATCCCTGATGTTTGGTTGGTGTAAAAAAGTTTTAACCCCTGTTGTTTGGTTGGTATACAACAGTTTTAACCCCTGATTGTTGTTTGGTGTACAACAGTTTTTGGCCTTGATGTTTGGTTGTTGTGTATCATTTTAAAGCCTTGATGTTTAGTTGTTGTACAACACTTTTGACCCATGATGTTTGACTTGTGTACAACACCTTTAAGTTTTTACCCCTGATGTTTTGTTGGTGTACAACATGTTTAACTTCTGATGGTTGGTTGGTGTACAGTTATCTCTGATGTTTGGTTGGTGTACAAGATTTTCACCCCTGATGTTTGGTTGGTGTACATGTACATGACAATATCTTACTTTATTTTTTTCAGGTATAGAATGATGGCTACTTCAGGCCTCAAGGGACCAAGTGAGGCCTCAGAATCATTGAAGAAATATGTCCAACGAAACCAGAAGGGACAAGAAATGCTTGTGGTCCCGGAAGGAAAATGGAAAGGCTGGGTTCCTCGAAGCATCTACTCAATGAGACTGGAGGAAGTATGCTTACCTTTCCTTAAATTACAGTCCTTTCCGGTAGGTGGCACTGCCATAGGAAGCTTAGTTTCAATGAAATATTTCAATGCAACTGGCAATTATATACAGAGGCTTCCAAATTCTTTTGGGACATGCAATGACCTTGAAAGGTTGAATCTCAGTTTTAATTTGTTAGATCAGATACCAAGCTCTGTTTTCTGTTTAGAAAATTTAACAAGTTTAGACATCAGTGATAATGATATTTCATTTCTATCACCAGAAATCAGCAGATTGAAAAAATTACGAGAATTGAATGCATGTGGAAATATTTTATCAGAAGTACCTGAAGAATTGGCAGAATGTCAAAATCTGCAAAAATTGAATTTATCAAGGAAATGGCACCCAAAAGATGGCGCAATAAAAGTCTTACCAACAGCTGTGTGTCACATAAAAGAATTGACAGAACTCAATATAAGTTGGCATCAAATTAACACTATACCAGATGATATACAAAACTTGACAAAATTGCAACGGCTAATTATGAAAGGCAATTATCTCAAATATGTTCCAAGTAGTATTGGCAAATGTTTGAAATTACAAGAGTTAGATTTGTCAGGAGCTATGAAACTAAATTCTTACATTCCACCAGAACTGTTCTTTTTGAAAGAATTGAAAGTTTTAAATATAAGCGGTAACTATTTTACAGAGATTTCTAAGGATATAAAGGGGCTGAAAAATCTACGTAAATTAATTATTCAAAGAAATGCTTTGTTGAGATTACCAAATGAACTTTTTAAATGCAAGCGATTGGAAAGTCTACAATTTAGCGATAATTATTTAGAAGAATTACCTCCCTTAGTTAAAAGATTGAAAAATCTTAAATATATAGATCTCCAAGGCAACAAGCTAAAGTCACTTCCTGATGAAATTTGTCAATGTGAAAACCTTGTTCAGATAAACATTGCAATGAATGTGATGGAGTCTTTACCGGATTTGATTTATTTATTAGAAAATCTGCAGGAATTGAATATTGAAAACAATAGACTTAAATCTCTGCCTCCAATGATGGATAAATTGGATAAGTTGGAGAGATTGAGTCTCCATAGTAACGTGTTGTCATTGCCACCCCAAGAAGTTTGTCAGTTTGGCATAGAGACAGTATTTAAATTTTTGAGAGAGTTAAGGATAAGTCAGGCTAAGCATAGAAGGAAAATGATATTGATTGGGGCAGCAAAAGCTGGAAAGACTAGCTTACGCAATGCCCTAATGCTTGGAAAATCAAAACTTACCGCTGAGCATGAGAGAACGTGGGTGTTAGAGAGACATCTCTGGGAACCGGAGTCGGATCTTCGTGTACAGTTGTTAGATTTTGGTGGTCATCATATATACTCAGCAGCACATCATCTTTTTCTCACACCTGAGGCTCTTCATGTGCTAGTTTGTGACCTGTCCAAGTACAGTCCAGATTTGTATGATTATATGGTGGGCAGCTGGATTGATGCCATCATTGACCGTGCACCTGGTGCAACAATCCTACTTGTTGGAACACATGCTGATATGTGTGAAGACCATCAGATTGAGGAACATACTATTAATATCATTGAAAAAATGCAGGCTGATGAGAAAGAGAAGGTTCAGGATCTGCAGTTTGAGGTTGAAAAACTAAGAACGGATTTGAAAGCTACTGCAGGAAAAGACAGCGGAACAAAATTTGAGGACATTAAAACTCAGCGACTACGTGAGAAATTGAACCATCTTCACAAATTGTTAAACGAGAGAGTGCCACTTCCTAACAAAATGTTTGTGGTGAGCTGTGCAGAAGATTTCCTCAACATCCCTGAATTTAAAGCAGATCTGACAAAAAAACTGAAGGAGACTGATGAGCGACCACTCCCAAAAGCATGGTATTTGTTCTTGACAAAACTGCATGAGGTGACAGATAAAGTTCTTCATTGGGAACAAGCTATTGCATTATTTGAAGAAACCATGAGTAACTTAAATCAGTCCATTATTTCATTAGAAGGATCTGCAGAAAAGAGCCTCGATGTGATTCTGCGGTACTTACATTCAACCGGAGAAATTATTTGGTATCATGATAACCCTAAGCTGCGTGGACTTGTTTTCCATCGTCCAGAAACCCTGGTGGAAATGTTGCGTACAATTTTCCACCACGATTTTAAGAAATATGTTATATTCGATGACAGTCACTCTAGAATGGCAGGGTTGAATAGAAATAAATTTGACTTGATGAAAGAAGATTTCCTGACGAAAGGTTTGATGACCGTTGAGCTGATGCACTATTGCTTACTTCATTTCAAATTGTCTGCTGATGCTAGAGATATGTTCATTGATCTCATGCTAAAATTTGACCTTTGCTATGAAGTTCCAAGGATTCCTGGTTTACCAAGCACTTATGGAGCTAGTCGTGTATTGAGATTTCCATGGTTTTTAGAAGCAAATAAACCATCATCTGTAACATCAACATGGCCAGAAAGGACGCCATTTGACACAATCGAAATAAGGTACCAGTTAGAATTTGTGAAGAAATTACCTCCAAATTTCTTTGAGAAATTAAACGCAAGGTTGCAGTCACACGTCTTGAACAGAGAGGATTGGAAAAATGGAACATTAGCATTCAGAAATAGATCAAAATTACTTGTAGAGAAAACCACAGAAAATGGCAATGTCAACGTAAATGTATCAGTGAGAGGAAGCGATATTCAGGAGTTGTGGTTCCTAATTTTGAAAGTCAGTGACGATATGTTGTCATTGCTGTTGGAATGGCCATTTGTTCGATTTGAAAGATATTTATATTGTTCCCATTGTGTACTAAGGGGAGATAATGATCCTACTAAGTACCCCGGAGAAGTGCTAGAGATGAGGTGCCAGAAGGGAATGTATGAGGTCTACCCCTGTAACAAACAGAAGGATGCCATGGTGCCTTCATGTCTTGTAGTACCACTTGATCCAGGTAAGTAATGTTATGAACTATAAGTTTTTTTTGTATAGCTACTGCAGAAGATGGAAAATAAATTCTATGTTTATTTCTAATGAAAAATAGTTACCATTAACATGATAAACACACAGCTGCATATTAAACTAAATAAAGCAGTTGTGAAAAAAATCTGATATACAGTCATCTGGTCATGACAGACATACAATTCCAGGCTTGAGTTATGTGATAAGAATTTGTAAATAACCAGTGAACTGATCTGCCTTGCATTGTTCAAAATGTAAAAACTTATAAAATTAAAAAAAAAAAAAAATCAAAATCATGTCATTATATTTTCAGTACAGCATTAACAAAAGAGGAGATGATATTCTGATTTTTATTTTACAGAGTATGTGGACGATGCTGATCTTGCTGGACATATAAGAACTGTGACAGAATTCCTTAGGAATCTTTGTGATACAGTTGATGGCCCAGGTAGGCTTAAAATAAGTGAAAATCCTTTTATGCCTTTGTGACTTATTAATTTAAAATCTAATGATAAAAGTATGGTAAGGCACCAAAAATTATGTATGTTTTTAGCTACATCTGATGACAAAAATAGAATTGGTCATTAATGTCAGTTGAATTAAATGCATTATTTATAATTTGCATGTTACATTCACATCATAAACATGTCACAATTGGACACAACATGTGATAAATAATCATGAGACTGTATAAGACGTTGTTGCTTTTTAAAAATATTGATTTGAAACTTATTTTACAAAAAGTACCACCCTCCCCCCCCCCCCCCCCCCCCCCCCCCCCCCCCCCCCCAATCTACACACATTTTTCCATTTTAAAAACTATGAAGTGTAATACATATTAGACTTTTTGGTATAGAAATATGTGTAAGAGCAAAAGATTTTTTGTATAGAATTATGTGTAAGAGCAAAAGATTTTTTGTATAGAATTATGTGTAAGGGCAAAGTGGAAAATTCAAGCAAAATAATCCCACAAATATCACAATATCATTTACAATTTTTTAACATAGCATTAATATAAGAAATGAAAATAATAACATAAGAAGCAGTGGCATAGTATAGACCAGTATTGCTAGTACAGTATCGGTCATACCATTTTTGGGGCTACTGTTGTTGAAATTGTTTAAAGTTAAGCATTCACTATACTGAGTTATCTGTAAAACTATACCGCTAATTCTTAAAACCTTACCACTTTTTTCATGGTATCTACTTCAATGAAAAAGTAATAAAGTGATGTTTTATAAAAATTTTGCAGGTCATTTACAGCTGTTCTCTGAAATAGGTTTGATGTATGTAGCATCTAAACTAGGCTTTGAATGGACACAGGTGGCTCTAGCCTTAGGCACTACACAACCAGAAATAGAACAGATACAGCTAGACAACCCATACCAGACAACTAGACAGATTATAGTGGTTTTGATTCGATGGAGGGATCGACAGATGAATAGGTCACAGGAGGAATCAATTAGGCAGCTTATAAAGGCATTAGAAATTCCTGAGAGACAAGATCTTATTGATGATCTGAGGAAGAAATATAATCTACCTGTTGATGTGTAGGTATTATGTGAAGAACAAGTTGATTTTTCGAATAATGTCAATGCAGAAATTCTTGCGTGCATTTATTATTGTGATTTTGGAGAAATGAACAAAATTGGAGTTTAATTATTATGATTTCAGGAGAAGCTACATTCAGATATATGTATAAGATATCAGAATTCAAGTCCTTATCATGCTTATTATTGAAATACTCACCCAGTCGCATTATTCTCATTAATAAAACCCTTGCATTAGTTTCTGAATTTACAGTACTTTGTAATGAATTAGTAGATTCATAGGTACAGTTTGTACTTTATTCTAAAAATTCAACAATGAAAAAATTGACACATCAAACAGATTATCATGAAATTGTTGTTTCCCTGAACTGATAAGAATTATGTTAAATCTTGTAAAAAAATACACTTACAGGCTTTTGAAAACTCAGTTTAGAGGATAGCAGTTGGAAGTATGCCAAACAAACTGTTTTAATGTTCATGAAGTAGCTCATGGTTGTATTGAGGTTACTCTACTATTAAGTGTGGTTTTGACAGATTTAAGAAATGAATTTACACATTATATATAATTGTATGTTTGAATCTTTTTCTGTTTTGTACTTTATTGCCTTAAAAGTTTTCAAATATTACATAAGTTCATGAACAATTTTTAGAAAGCATGATCACTGTAGCCTATTTAAGGCAGGATACATTTTTTAAGTACAATGTAATATTAATTCAAAGTGAAACTTTTATAACAACTTACTTTAAATGATTTTAATGAAATTTTACTCGATGGAAATATAATAACAAAAATTGTACTATTACTTATTGTAAACCAAAAACATACATTTATAATTGATTGTAAAGATCATTTAGTTACTTTTATCTTTTCTATATTGCTGCACTATTCTTATTCTACTTTATATTTATATCTATTGCAGTATCTGTCAGATTACATTTTCCTGTATAATGTATCATGTTTGTTGCTTATTTTGTGTATGTATTTAATTAAAATTGTTGCTTGTAACAGCCCCCTGTTGGACCTTGATTGGAATAATAAAATATTCGATATTTGATTTGATTTACATCTATTTCAGATGAAAAAAAGTGAGTTTAGTTGCAAGAAGAATTACATCAACTGTCGAGCTCAAATTAATGAAAAGTGCTATTCCATTGGATAAAGAATAATAGTGCTAATAATTACATTGTTTAAGGAAAATAACATTATTCATATTTTTGAATGTACATCTATTTCTTAATTTGTAATTATTTGAATTTATGCTGAGCATTTTTTAGATGGACTATGCAGGGTTAAACATAGTCACAATCTTAGTGTATAGAGCTTTTCAATCTCTTTCAATATAATATAAAAATATTTAGAAATCAAGTGTATGATTAAAGCTGGTTCTACAAATTTAAAATAAATGGTAGAAATTACAGTGATTTAAATCCAGATTTTAGTTTATTTAAGTACTATTCAACATTATATTGATTCATTGTGAAATTCATATTTTTCTTTAAATTAAGAAATGAGTAAGTAATCTTATCAATTAACTGAAAAGAAAACTTTTCCAAAATTGAATCAACTAGATGTGACAGAAAGGAGTGGTCATTGTAAAAAATCTAAAAAATCTAAAAAATCCAATTTAATTTGTAGGTTAAAAATATTATTAAAATACTAAAAAGTTGTTCATCCTTTCATTATATATATACATGATATATATGTAACAGTATATAAGCTATGCCCAACTATGGGACATTTATTAAATAATATATGTGTTTTAAAGCATTTTTCTGGATTAATCCAGGTACAAAATTATTTCATAACAAATTTTGTGTGACACTTAAATGATATCATCTCTCTTACTTATGGATTATCATATGGTATGCTGTGTGTTTTTTTTTTTTTTACAATGTTGTATTTGTGAAAGAATTAATTTAGAGCTTCCTAAAATAGTTTGCTATAGATTCAATGTTAATGATATGAATTCAGGAATTACAGAAAATACTGTTGTTTTGTTATTCATATCAATATTTTAAAACCGGTGTTATGAAACAATTGACCAATATTGATTCTGGCAATCAGTGCTTAGATTCTAATTTTAATAGTAAAAGGAAGCATGCATTTAGAAATTAGTGAAACCTGTCCTAAATCACCATACAATAAATATCTTTACGTTTTGTAACGTGTGTGAACCAGAGAGTGCATAACATTTTCTCGCATTTTGGGATTAAAATTGTTTACAATTGTGGGCAATATTTTATAACAAATTTGACTATTCACTTCAAAGGAAACAAGGAAATATGTATTATAATTCATGACAAATGTTTTTTTTTTTTTTTTTTTTCATAGAACATAAATTGCGATCACGTCAACCATGTAGTATATTAACTGATATCCTAAGAAACCTCAGTTAAATGGCACAAAATTTATGTAAATGTTACATAATTGTAATCAGGTTTATGAATAATTTACTTTGAAACCATTTAGTATATAGGAGTTCAATTTTGCAAGGGGTTTATATTTTCTAATTTCATGTTGAAGACAAATTTGTGATATATCTGTATCTGCTGGATATAAAGTTGATCATTAAGAGAGGTTAGGAATAGAGAAATCAGAAAATAAAACCTACATGTACCAAACAAGTCAGAAATTGTGGAAATAAGCCACTTTGCACAGTATTTAGTCATGTCTATGCCATATGGAAAATTATAAATCCATGCTTCGCATTAATCTTCTCCCCACTTCAGAAACTCAGGAAAATCTCATATTTAATGCATCCTTCATGTAACTTAACTTAGTAGTTATATCAAAAATAGATTAGAAAAATAATGTGAATATAAGTTGTCACATACTGTAGATTCATTATTATTATTCGTGGGATATCAATTTTCGTTGATTTTGTGGTTACAGGTTAACCACCAATTTAAATGTTCAACGAATGACAAATTTTCTATAGGTTTGTATGCAGACTTTGGTAAAACCACAAATTCAAATATCGACGGTAATAAAATTTCTCCTCAAACCACGAAAATTGGTACCCACACAAATAAATGAATCCACAGTATATCATATATATGTAAAACTGAGATCTTTTCTTATATAAAAACATTAAAAAAAATAGAAAATCTCAAAAATTAAAATGCTGCTAAGTCAACTAAAAAAGGCTTAAAAGCAATATAAATTATTTGCAAAAATAAGTTGTTTTACAGTACTTACCCATATACAAAATTTTAACTTCCATTATTACCTTTCTATAATTATTTTAATTAAGGAATGACTGTAATATTTTTTCTGTCTATGAAGAAATAACATCAAAAATTGTGGTGCACACTGAATAACCCGTGTAGCGGGTTATTTAATTTTTTTTTATGCTATTTCGAATAGACAGAAAAACTATTACAGTCATTTTTTATAATTTAATTCTAAATTCCATTTTAAACCAGAGTAAAACCTAATAAAACGTTGATGACGTCACGGTCACATGACAAAATTATGTCTATGAGCTGATAAACAAAACAACGTCAGCCAATCAGAAGACACATCACATCCAAAATTAAATTATAAAGGAATAGCCATAAAATCTACATGAGATTAGTTCTATGTCTCTGTGGAGATCTTCTTTGTTATGTATATATGACCAAACATTCAGAAATGAAACTGTTAACCATAATTGCAATTCTTCTTGAGATTCATTATTACCTCACATACAAATACTCTTTTAAAGTAGAATTTAATTATCTTACTTTTTTCACATGAAATAAATCCCTTTTATGCAATCCAGGTTCCTGTACTTTTTGAGTGTGAAATAATTTACATTCCTGCAATATGAAATGAAAAACAATGACTTACAATTATGACATTTCTTATTTTACAATAATGTGTATTGTTTTACTGGTACTCGAGTAAAGGAATGCAGACAACTAACTGTATCAAAATTTATATAAGTTTTGCCAAATTTTGTTTAGTTTTTCATTGTAGATAAATTTATCCAATAGCATGCATTTTTTACTCAGTTTGCTACAATGGTGATTATAGCATTGTAATATTTTAAGGTGAAATCACTTTGGAAAACTATTATTATTATTACCTATGGTTAAGTTTTTGTTTGACTTTTTCATTACAATTGTATAACATACCATACACGATCAATCATGAAGATGATTAATCACGAGGACGATTAATCATGAGGATGATTACTGTTAATTCAATATTATTTTTTTGGTACCAATTTTTGTGGATTTTGTTGGTATATGTTAACCAGAAATGTGAATGTTCAGTAATGTGCATATTTTCTACAGGCTGGTATGGTGACTTTAGAAAAACCATGAAACGAAATTTCCACTAAAATTTAAAATTTTCCTTAAACCTTGAAAACTGGTACCTACAAAAATAAATGAATCCACAGTATTTCATATATCTGTTAGAAAATCTCTTCATTCAATTACATGTTGAGGACCATTTATGTTTTTGAGAATTCTGTGCTGGATTGAAAACTTTGGTAGTATTAGAAATATAAATGTAAAGGATATATGGAATGTTGGACATCATATAATCTGTCATATCAAATTCATAGATGTTTACATATACATTTAGACATTTTCCCCAAAAATATGCATATTCTCTTTGACACATTCCCTGTTTCCATTCTGTATTCTATACATACTGTTTTTTTTTTTTAAATTCATGTTCTGAATTTAGGTTTTATGTATTTGTTGACAAACAAAAGCAGCAGAAGCCAGACATAGAGATCCTAAATTTCATCATTCATGGTGTTGTCAACATTTAGGTTCAGTTGTGGTTCGTTTTTTGGACATCTATAACTTTGTGAAACCTTCATGGATTTTTATGAAACTGGAGCAGTAGCTTTATTTTTCATGGTGAAAAAACTATCCAGAGCAAAATTTCAAGATAATTTTTTTCTTTTTTCCTTATTTTACTGCAGTTGAAATTTAGATACAGTCTGGGGTTTAAATTTTTAGAAATAATAACTTTGTCATTTATTAATAGAATCTATGAAATATGGACAGAATTTTCTTCATGATCAAGAATTAGCGCAACTGAAATTATTGATGAATGTATTGATAAATGGATGTCATTTTTGGCAGTCACCATTACACTTTTGCTCTGACATCAACTATTGAGGGGAAACACATAGTTCCATGGAACCCTTTACACATTATTTAACAATCATTTTATCAGTGGTATTATTTGATTCCTAAAAAGTATCTATCACATGACTGTCACATGACTGTCAAATGAGCAATCTGATTGAAATACAGATGTTTGTTCCATGCAATGCTCACCTTCTACTTCCTGTTGAGATGATCATTGCTCAATCATATTTCTGAAAATTTTGAAGGTATGCGACATAAGGGCAATCAAGAGAACACTGAAAAGTTCTCCGGAACAGATAGTTAAATGGAGCATTGTCAGATTTTTCTAAGTGAGGCATCGACACAAGATCAGCATTTCGATCAGATTGTCACACATGTTGGTCATTTCATATTCATTCCGTGTGGTCCTTAGAGTATAATCAAGGTAATTTACAATTAGACTGGTACCTACCTAATTAACAATGTGTTGTAACATAATGACTTAGTCAATGAATTGATTTAAATCAATAAAATATGTCTAAAATGAGCCAAGATTTTTATTTCACGGTATAAATCTACACAGAATTGACTAATATCAAATTAAGGGGATGTGGTATGATTGCCAATGTAACAACTATCTTCCAAAAACCAAAGGACAAGATGTACAACAACTACATGTTACTCACCATATGGCTTTTATCAATGAGCAAAACCAATTCCAGTATGTATTCCCAGAAGATGGATGGCTGTTTAACATTCAGTGGCAAATTAAATGCATATTCAAGACGATACTAAAGAAGGCCGGAGGATAACAAAATGTAAATAATTCATAAGAGAAAACCAACTGCCTGGTTTTATCTATCGTATTAATTCCCACTTTCTTGGGAGTATTTCTAGAACTGTTTATTCCAGGAGTCATATGATAATTATTATTATTATAAACCTCTGTCTGTCTGTCGGTCCATCCCATGAAATTCCGATGTAATTTTCTTGGAAACAACAAAGCAGATCTTCCTATACAGTTTGATGCAGTTTCAGATTCATCAATCCTTAACTTCATTTAACTGAATACTTATTTATTCCAACACATAATGGCCATGTATGAAAGTTTCGTCTCATATTTCTAGGGAACTACAAATAAGAATTTCCTTAAATTTTGTTGCTCTTTTTAGAAAAAGATGGCAATAAAACTGTCTGATATTCCCAAGCTTGTATTTCCTATCATGATTTCCTTGATAGAGGATTGCTGCTCACAAGGAAGCTATTAAACCAAGAGTTCCAAATGGTGAAGTTGAAATCATCCCTTCGTAAATTTTACGGACGCCATCACGAGTTGGTTGACCGTTATGGAATAACCGTTTCACAGATGATATCGGATATGTTCTTTATGTTGTAACTACAATACCCTTCCCTTTTCACGAATGTGACCTACCGAATTAGACTATTTACCGGATTTGTAATAACATAAGCAACTTGACGGGTGCCCCATGTGGAGCAGGATCTGCTTACCCTTCTGGAGCAGCTGAGATCACCCCCAGTTTTTGGTGGGGTTCGTGTTGCTTAGTCTTTAGTTTTCTATGTTGTGTCATCTGTACTTTTATTTGTCTGTTTTTTTGGTTTTTTTTGGCCATGGCGTTGTCAGTTTGTTTTCGATCTGTGAGTTTGACTGTCCCTCTGGTATCTTTCGTCCCTCTTTTTTCGTCAACCACAAAAGTCTAGTTTACTTCCATAACCTATTGAATTGGTTAAACCTTTTGTTTATTTTTGATTTTAAAAGGACAACTGTTTTATGGTAGGTTTGTATCAAAACATTGATGTAATCTTCATCAACTTGATAATTTTTTTGTCAATATGTATGATACTTCACTGTCTTCAGTGGCCAAGTGGACTAAGTAGTTCATTTACAGTTCTCACTAGCCTGTCAACACTAAGGTTAGTTTAAACCCTCTTGGGCAAGTTGGGTTTATCTTCGATCTAAATTGACTTGGGATTGCTATTTGCTGGTTATATGGCATCTGCCACTAATAAATAAACAACTGCGCCATGAGCGCATGATACGCCCGTCGTCTTGTGTGTGAATTTTTATGCAATAAGCATAAATAGTTTCTGACATAAGGCGTGACATGCGAAAACCCCCTTTTTTTTTTACAAAAAACTCAATATCTCTAAAATAAAATTTTGAATCAAAACCAAAAAGTATACAGATCTTTAGATTAATATAACTAAGAAGTGTGTAAAATTTAAAGCAATAATCATAAATCGTTTTTGAGATACGGCGCGACATGTGAAAACCCCCCTTTTAAAAAAAAAAAAATCAATATCTCAAAAATAAATTTTGAATCAAAACCAAAAAGTATACAGATCTTTAGATTAATATAACTAAGAAGTGTGTAAAATTTTAAGCAATAATCATAAATCGTTTTTGAGATACGACGCGACATGTGAAAAACCCCTCCCCCTTTTTTTACAAAATACTCAATAACTCAAAAATAAAATTTTGAATCATCACCAAAAAGTATACAGATCTTAAGGTTAATATAACTAAGAAGTGTGTAAAGTTTTAATCAATAATCATAAACTGTTTTTGAGATACGGCGCGACATGTGAAAAAAGCCTCCCCCTTTTTTAACAAAATACTCAATATCTCTAAAATAATATTTTGAATCATCACCAAAAAGTATACAGATCTTAGGATTAATATAACTAAGAAGTGTGTAAAGTTTAAGCAATAATCATAAATTGTTTTTGAGATACGGCGCGACATGTGAAAAAAAACACACACCTGTTTTAGTTACTAAGTCCCGTAACTCAAAAAGTTTTAATCTTATTTTCACCAAAAAGTATACAGATCGTTTGACCATCATAAGAAACAACTATGTAAAGTTTCATGAAATTTGGATAAGTCATTCTCAAGTTACAGTGCGACATGTTTATGCCGGACAGACAGAGGGACAGACGGACAAACAGACAAACAGACGGACGGACACCGGACATTTGTATACCATAATACGTCCCGTCAAAAATTGACGGGTGTATAAAAATGGCTGCCATGATACTGAAAGTGGCAATTACCACTAACAATCAATCCATCACTGTCAGGAGGTATACAATTTCATGTGAACTGGATGTTTTGCTCACTTAGGTGCAAATAATCATACCAAAATAATATCGACTTATCATAAGTGTTTCCAATTAAATGACCTTAACATAAACTAAAACTTGTAAACTATGCTAAAGTTTCAAAGTAAATGAACCATTACTGAGTGGGCAGTGCCATATAATCTCTATGGATAAAGATTGTGCTATGCTAATACAACTGCATACCAAATATGAATGACTTGCCAGTAGTGGTCCATCTTAAACTGACATAAATACAAATTTTACCATGTCAACTATGCAAAAGTTTCAAAGTCAATTTACCATGACTGAAGGGGTAGGGCCAAATAATCTCCCATGGAAATGAAATGTGCCAATACAAGTAAAACTGTACACCAAATATCATTGACATTCTACAACTGGTTCCCTATGTGTCAAGACAGCTTCAATCAGTGTAAGGCAACACAATAAATATTTTACATCCATGTCTACTTCTGTGGTTCACATTGCCAATCATGATTGTGCCCTAAACTGCTTATGTCTATTACTGCACATCCATTGGCATATGAACATCGATCAACATTATTGTCAAAAATTTTGCTTGCTTATGTCTATTACTTCACATCCATTGGTATATGAACATCGATCAACATTATTGTCAAAAATTTTGCTTGCTTATGTCTATTAATTCACATCCATTGGCCTATGAACATTGATCAACATTATTGTCCACAACTTTGCCAACCTTCATAATTGTTCATGATTGCCCATACCTTTTCCTGTGACTTGCTCAATGACAATTTTATACAGTGAAATTTAACTTCACTAATTGGAGTACCTCATGGACTGAAGGATTTGTTTGGTTTAGACAGTTGTTTAATTTAAACAGGTTAAAAATATACTGATGTTGGTATAAAGGGCTTTTGGTAGAAGACAGGTGGTATCAGGGTACAAGGAAAAAGATTTCATTTGATTTTCTGCGTTTTAATGCAACTTTTAAGCACCTCTTTTGGACTTTTTTGTGGCGGCCAGTTTTTATTGGTGGAGTTAACCGGAGTGCCCAGAGAAAACCACCGAACTTCGATAGGAAAACTGACAATCCTAATCAATTAAGATTGGAGTCTACTGCACCCGCACAAGCGAGTTCGAACTAACGACCTCAAGGAATAAGAACATGTTTCTCTGTTCAGTCAGGGCTTTGCTTAAACAGGTTTCTGTTTAATGAGGATTCTGATTAGACAGGTTTCTAGTTTAGTCAGGGTTTTACTTTGACAGGTATCAATGTATCATGCATCCAAAGCTGATTATGTATTGTATAATAAACAAGAAATGATTGTATCAGGATGCTGTTACGAAGTCTCCCAAACGAAGCTCCCATAATTCGTAATTCCCAGGGTCGCCTGACATTGGGCAAAGTCCAGTAAAGTTATATGCATTATGCTGCCCGGGGACTAACCCTGTATATCATTCAAATTATCTTTGCATGACAAACCAGAATATATATGGTTTAGGGGTGGGGATCTCGACCATTTACAAAATATTAGAACTTTCTCTTATGGCAGGGGGTCAGGATGACCCCTGGGGACTAACCCTGTATATCATTCAAACCATCTTCGCATGACAAACCAGAAGATATATGGTTTAGGGGTGGGGATTTTGACCACTTACAAGATATTAGAACTTTCGTAAATGGCAGGGGGTGGGGGTGACCCCTGGGGACTAACCCTGTATTTCATTTGATGTGCTTTATCATGACAAACCAGAATATATATGGTTTAGGGGTGGGGATCTCGACCATTTACAAGATATTAGAACTTTCTCAAATGACAGGGGGTCGGGATGACCCTTGGGGACTAACCCTGTATATCATTCAAATTATCTTGGCATGACAAACCAGAATATATATGGTTTAGGGGTGGGGATCTTGACCACTTACAAAATAATAGAACTTTCTTAAATGGCAGGGGGTGGGGGTGACCCCTTGGGACTAACCCTGTATTTCATTTGATGTGCTTTATCATGACAAACCAGAATATATATGGTTTAGGGGTGGGGATCTCGACCATTTACAAGATATTAGACCTTTCTCAGATGGCAGGGGGTCGGGATGACCCCTGGGGACTAACCCTGTATATCATTCAAACCATCTTAGCATGACAAACCAGAATATATATGGTTTAGGGGTGGGGATCTCGACCATTTACAAGATATCAGAACTTTCTTAAATGGCAGGGGGTGGGGGTGACCCCTGGGGACTAACCCTGTATTTCATTTAATGTGCTTTATCATTTAGAACACTTTAAATTAAAAATATTGTGTCTATCACAAACGGTTTTCAATTTATAATCATTTGAAAATTTAAAAAAATAAAATCCCATAGGGTTCTATAGTAAAACCCTCCTTTCTTTTTGCCCCTCAAAGTACCCCTTTATAAACCCCATTGCACAAACAAAACCCTGATTGCACCACTAGACATGTTAGTCTAACATATTGTGAAACCCTAAGTTAATCTGACAAGCGGTTTTGGAGAACGGGTGCGGACAAGTTCAAATTTAAAAGCGGCGGAAGAGGAAGAAGAAGAAGAATAATAATAATAATAACTGAGCAAAACCAATAAGTCTTCCTAAACTTCGTTTGGGAGACTTAATAAACAAAATACTTTTGTGTTATGAAAAATATTTTAATTATGTGTTTTAAGTCCATGTACAGTAAAAAAAAAATGTACAAAATATAAATTTAACAAACAACATATATATGTAATAAATATATCTTTAAAATATATTGCACTAGTAGACTTTATTCAGCACCTTTTATAAAACATAAATTCACATTGCAAAAACTTTTTTTAATAAAAAAAAAAAAACAAAGCTATAATAAATACAATGAAAATTATTGAATCACAATGGGCAATGGGATTCATTTTTAAAACCCCAACCATCCATAATATGAAATTTTCCTTTCAATTACAATTCTTATAAAATTCAAAGGAAAATGCTATCACAATAAAAAATTATTTTTAGTTCCTCCCATCCCCACCCCTTCAAAACACCATCAACTTTGGAACAGCCCTGATTTTTAGGTATTATATAGGTAAAATTCATATCCTTTTTAAATTATCTGCAAAAAAATGTTTCCTCTCTGTATGACAAGGTCGTCTCCTACTCAACCTCACAATAATAATATCTAGACAGCAAGAACATTTAATAAAATACACTGTGGATTCATTTATTTTTGTGGGTACCAATTTTCGTGGATTGAGGAAAACTTACACTTTCATGGATATTTAATCTTGTGGTTTTGCCAAAGTCTGCATACAAGTCAATGGAAAAATTGTAATTTGTTGAACATTTTAATTTGTGGTTTACCTGTACCCACGAAATCCATGAAAATTGATATACAACAAAAAATAATGAATCCACAGCAGTAATAACATAAGGATTACAAAATAACAATATATAATATATTTCAAAATAATTGTTTGCATTTATTATTTTAATGATTGAACAATGGACACAAATGAGTGATTAATAATTACAATTTCAGGAATGTTGCACTTATATATATAACTTTTTTTTTTGTAAAACCTATAATGTTGCAATTTTTTGCAATAGTAAAAATATGCAAAAATTCCTGAATTTACAATATGCCCTCTTGAACATTCTCATAATAATTGACAATTATCAAATCTAGAGAATGTTAATAATAAAAAAGATGATTTAATCAACTTTTATATATAAAAGTACCAATAAAAAATAACTTGCAAATGATTAAGTCACATGGGTAAAGCACTGAATTATCAATCTGTTTGTGTGTAAAAAAGGGCAGATGAAAATTTCTAATGTACATTTGTCTTGATACATATAATCACTTATAAATTCAATCAGATCAGGAAAAATAATTTTAAATTCTTTATCTTCACCATCTTATAAGCATCTATGAATTACTATGTGCTAACTGTCGTTTGACTAGGGTTAATGAAGTATTTCTGTATCTTTGCTAGTGGATAAGCATGCCTGCCTTTATCTTCATCTTTAAGTACTCTGAAACAAAATCAAAAGAAATAGATTTATCTCAAACAAAGCTTTCCCCCTCCCCCCTTAAACTTCAATGCTTTGTCTATATGCCATTTTGTTTTTCTTTGTTGACATATTTGTTTGTTTTTATAGTGATTAAGATTATTACACAATGCTGACTGCTGTACCCCTATTTTTGACATTTTTTCCTATTTGAGCTTTTGATTTTGACATTTGATAAGGGACTTTCCGTTTTGAATTTTCCTTGGAGTTTTGTATTTTTGTTATTTTACTTTTTTCAATCACATTTGCCTGGAACTTGACTGTATCTTATATCAACTGGAATCACTCTGTGTGCTAATGTTTGTCATGGTGATTCACTTTTTGAATGAAAACTATACTGTAAAACAATTTTTTTATCAGAAACTTTATTTGTGTTTTATGATCCCATTTCAGCTAACTTCACATGCTTCATACCGATTTATTTTCAAAGTTTTCTAATTTTCCTTGATGCATTTATATAAGAGAAGACATCATTTTTTTATTTTTTCCCATGATTTATATTCAATTTATTTTTCTACTTGTGCAAAAAGCAAAAAGAAAAACAAGTGAAGCTGCAAGCTACTGCTCACTGATGATACCCCGCCCAAATATTTCGGTAAACAGGAAGTTGTTGAGTGATGAATCTGAAAACGCATCACACGGTATAGCCGACTTATATAAACCCTGAAACCAAATTTCAGAAATCCTTGTATTGTAGTTCCTTAGAAAAATGTGCCGAAAATTTTCAACTTGGCTATCATGTGTAAAATGATACAAGTGTTCGGTAAACAGGAATTGTTGAGTGATGAATCTTAAAAAGCATCACACGGTATAGCCGACTTATATAAACCCTGAAACCAAATTTCAGAAATCCTTGTAATGTAGTTCCTGAGAAAAATGTGACGAAAAATATTCATGGGACGGATGGACGGACTGACAGACTCACAGACTGTAGATGGATGGAAGGACAGACAGAGGTAAAACAGTATACCCCCACTTTTTTAAAGCGGGGGTTTAAAAAACACTCCCTAAAATTATTTTGTTTACAGTATTCATATTACCTATCCAAAGGGAGACAAACCATACACAACATACAAATCTTACTAAAACAAACATTCTGAGAGTATTGCATGGCAATACATAGTCCCCTACCAGTTAAAAATTTATATTGTACTGGAACAAAATGCTAACTTAATCGTAGTCTGAGGACCATAACTCTGTAAAATAATCATCTGAACCAAACAAAATTCGAACTTGATCTGTAAATTGTCATGGTAAATCTATATACCAAATATCAAATCAATATCTTCAAGCACGAAGAAAAAAGTGTGGAAAACTGATCTGCCGGACTGACGTATGGACACAGTCAGATGGAGTGCAAACCTATAGTTCCCTTTGACTTCGTCGGTAGGGGACTAATCACTGTAAATTCATCATTTATTATCTTGATTGTTGATGAAAATGTGAGATAAAACATTGCAAAAATTACTGAATTTACAGTAGTTATATTTGGCTTCAGTGCTGTAAAGATAAAACATTTTTTTTTGTATGACACAGGTATTTTGATTGGCAGCTTTGTCATAATAGGCATGTCCAGTTGCAGTTTTGGTCATAAGAAGATCAATACTATGTCTAGAACCTCCTTTAAAGAGCAGCATTAAGCCATATTAAGATATGAATTTTATCAAGTGTAAGAATTCAGTAAATTTATTTGTTTCCATGAGTTTGTCTTTATTCAATGAATATATGAGAGTTCACAATCAGAGACCTTGCCTACAGGAATTTCCGTTTTCTAAGAAACATGCCCTATTACTGCCTACCACTACGGCAGATACAATAGGATCTGGTACCGATTGCCATTCAAAAACATTGCCATTGCAATAGTATACGGCGGATTTTGATATGTGTTATTTATTGCATCTGGTGTACCGACAGACAGTAATAGGGTGTGATATACCACATCCCAGCTTCTACAAAAATTAACACCTACCTTTCAGCATCAATTCTTGACTTGTTAACATCATAATGTTGAGTATAGGGCGTGTTCACCTTGGCAGGAGGATTATCCCCCTGTCCAACCTATAATATAAGATAGACAATGTAATCTATATCCTTTTTTGAAGACATTTATAAAGTACCAAATTTTGGTTGATTTCATGGATAAAGGCAAATTGAGATGATAAATTAAGTATCCATATATATTTTCTATAAGCTTATAGGTAAACATATGACAAAACCACAAAATCAAATATCCACAAAAATATTATTTTCACCAATCCATGAAAAGTTGTTCCCACAAAAAATAAACAAATCCACAGAATTCATTTTTAAACCAAACTTTTTTAAAAATTGTTTATAATGTTAGAAAAACAAAATTAAAATTAAAAGCAACAAACAATTATTCATTAATCCATCTTTTTTCCCTTACAGCTTGTTGAACACACAATTTCTAAATACTGAGCTAATTCTTTGACTTTAAATAAACTAAAACTGACTAATTGTTTCATATGTTCAAATCATTTTGCATTATAAGCAAACTTTGTTTACCCCTTTCCAAGATGGAGGTTGAGGTTGAAGTTTGGACACCATACTGCTTCCAACACACACTGGTGGTAATTTAAGTAAGTGTGTCATTCTCTGACGTTTTCTTAAAAGTTTCTTTAAAGCATCACGTTTTATTGTTTGAGCCATCTGACTGTAGACCTGTCCAGTTACTTTGTTCCGTTGGAAAAGGGGATGCACAAGAAGGACACCAGTTTCTGCTAACACTTCATTAAATCTGAAAAGTTATTTCCATGTCAGTAATATTTGCTCTCAGTCAAAAAGTTTAAACTTTGGATATTGATAAGTTAAAATTATGTATTTTCTTATGTTAAAAATAAGCATTTTCAAATGTTTATTAAATATTTATAAAAAATTCACAAAGATTTTGAGACATATTAATTTTTTACATTGGTTGCAAATTTTAAATACCATGATTTTCTCAATCAAATAAAAAACCGAATATTTCATACATGATAGAAATCTTGTCATTTCAATCATCTAACGTCATACAACAATTGTGCATAATCAAGCTGTTGCCACTGATGTTGCAACAAAACAAAGTGATAATGTGTGTAAAAAGATATAGTTATATTAAATGTTAATGTAATAAGAAGAGTAATTAATCCAAGAATTATATATTCAAATATTGAAAAAATATAAGGAGAATGTGTCATGGGACACAGATGATGCCCCAGCTAGCATATAACATTATAAAGGGACATAACTCAAGAACTGTAAAAGTGACGCAACCCAAATTCATACTTGATCTGTGTTTTATGGTAATAAGCATTTTGTATAAGTTTCATAACATTTGGTTGAGGCAAACTAAAGTTAGAGAACGGAAACGAAATTCATCAATTTTTCCATTTATAAAGGGGCATAACTCTAGAAGGGTAAAAGTGACGCCACCCAAATTCACACTTGATCTGTGTTTTGTGGTATTAAGGGTTGAACCAAATAACTTACAATTTCCAAATATTCTGATGTATTTGTTTACGTTCCTCCTCTAAGTTCCTCATTCTCTCATTCCAAACTTCCATATTGGTGTCCATCTTTGATTCCATACGTTTGATGTAATCTTCTATGTCTTTTCTTACATCAGAAGCTAACTCTGGCTCCTCTAGAATACCCTGTAATCTTTCTTAAAGAATGAACACACACAATGTGTGAAAATCCATATTTTGAAAAATATTCTACTTCATACTATCAAAATACAAATAACTATTCAACAGAAAGGTAAAATCCTAATATGGTTTAATGAACTAAGATATCTAAATTAAATGGAATAGAAATGGAAAATCCAAATAAAATGGAAGAGAAATTTGAAATTCAAAATATAACTTTATTAATTAAAGAAGTGTTATCTCAATGTAAATTACTGACAGAAATATGAAGTCTTAATGATACTAAGTTTCTGACAGAAATGTTAATTCTCAATGTTAATAGCTGACAGAAAAGTGAAATATCTATGTTAATAACTGACAGAAAAGTGAAATATCTATGTTAATAACTGACAGAAAAGTGAAATATCTAATATGTTTTAAAATAACTGACAGAAAAGTGAAATCTCCATATAAATTACTGACAGAAATATTAAATTTCAATATAAATTACAGAAAAGGGACATCTCCATGTAAATAAACTGACAGAAAAGTGCAATATTCATGTTAATTACCGTCAGAAAAGGCAATCTCTATGTCAATTACTGACAGAAAAATGAAACCTCAATGTCAATTACTGAAACAAAAGTGCAGTCTTCATGATAATAACTGATAGAAAAGTGCAGTCTACATGATAATAACTGATGGAAAAGTGCAATCTTAATGTCAATTATTGACAGAAAATTGCAATCTCAATCTCTAATAATTACTGACAGAAAAGTGCAATCTCAATGTTACTGAACATATATGTGAAATCTCAATAATTATTTAAACACAAATGTCAAATATAAAAAAAAATCCTAATATTACTGAAATAAGTGAAAAAAAATGCTTATTTACCGGTTTATATTTAATTCAAGTTAAGAAATATTATTTTTTTAAATCTATATTTCTAAAATTTCTAATAAATGTATGACATTTAGTGTGTATGAAACATAAAAAAACCTGCTTTTAATACTGTAGAGTCGTATATCATCTGGGAGACTAAATTATATTTTTATTTCTTAATTGGGAAATCAGCGGAAAAAAAACCTTGTTATAAAACCTTTACAGTACCTCTTGAATCCTGTACACTTCTAAATGCTATGTATTGTTCAAAAAAATACTTTATTCTTTTTCCTGGAATTCTCAGAGCTTTCTTCAGCAAAGCTGATGCCATCTGAAACAATTTAAGTTAAGTTATTGGTTATTCAGAAATTTTTTGTGATGATTTAATTTATATTGCAAAAATTTACAATGTAAATTTTTTCGCAAAAAACAACTTGCATTCTAAAAGGACCTTTCATACAACATTCCTATCAAAAACAATGAAAAATTAACACATTTTTAGAATATAGAAGTGTCTCTACTTTGTAATGCTTTTAATTGGTTTTAAACAGAACCTTCCCTTTAAAAAAAATTATATAAAAAAGTTCCAATAAAGTGAGCTGAGGAAGCAGTGTATAATATCATATTGGTATTTTTCAAATCTGCCACAAACAATAAATAAAATCAGATTTTTCAATAAAAATAGTAACAACTTCTCCGTAATGCTAAAAAAAAGTTCTTCATACACAAAAACAAAAAGAGAGTGGCTAGGTCAAATGGTGAGCTGGAAGAAATAGTATTGATATATCATATTGGGTAATCCAACTCTTCCGGACCTGGCATACTATATTATATGTTTGAGTAGTATATAACCCATACTAACACAACATATATTCTCACCAAAGCTTCTACAAATTTGCATAAATTAATTTGATGGGAAACAACTCATGACTTACTTTTACCTTTTTAAATGGATGTATCCAATTGAATATTAAACAGTTTTGTCATTTATAAAACATTGAAATGATGTTGCAAAATTTATTGTGGACTAAATATTTAAACAAAGAATAAAGTTAATTTTGAAAGAAATCAATTGTGTCTTTGGTTTATAAATAGAAACAGGTATTTCCTAAATTGATTTCAATATATACACATTATCTATATATAGTTTGTCAATATTGTTCAATACATAATTCTAGACAACAGTTTCTGGAGTAAAATATACTCAAGCTTGATTAAAAAAACTCAATTCAGAAAACATAAAATAATTCATATCTTTTTTCTGTAAATATGAATCTTTGGTTTTCTAAATAGAAAGTAAATTTGTGTTAGGGATGGTAAAATAAATAAAAAATTGAGAAAGTTAACAAAGGCCAAACGATCTAAAATTAATTTTATTTGAAATTTATGCAAAGAAGACTGTCAAGAATAAAACATGATACCTGATCATATATGTTCTTCATATTCAATACTTTATCAACATTTTATATACCACAGCTTTCAAATTAAGACATAATTTTCTATGAAACTGTTAGTTAATTCATAGACATTAAATTATCAAACAAGTTGAAGGTTATGACCGTGGTAAACATATTATAAAACTGAAAGACTTTCTTGTTCCCCTAAATGCATACAGAAATGAGAAGAGCAAAACAAGCAATTGAGTCACTCTTGTTTTGACCATTAAAGTCAAATAATACATAACAATTAATCTGAAAACATTACAAATATAAGTATGCTCTATATTATATGGTATGGGTTTTGCTGATTATTGAAGTATGTACAGTGTCCTATTGTTGATTACATTAGTGAACGTTAGTCTCTCGTGTATATTTTTTCACTGGCATTTATACCACAACCCCTTATATTAATATGTATAACCAGACTTAAACTCTGCCTAAATCATTGTCTTAAAGAATCCATTTTAATTGTAATGCTTGGAAACATTTCTGAACAAACTTGGTATTAGAGTTAACTATTATTTTAACTATTAAAAAGTAAAAAATTAGGCTGATTAAAAATTCACTAGTTACGATGACCTAACTTGTAGATTTGTTTATGGTAACTAAACAAACTTGTAGAATATGCTTTTTGTACCTCTATTTTTGACATTTTTACCTATTATGTCTGTTTGTTTTGTTCACACATTGTTGTCAATATAATGGAATTTTATGCAACTGTCATACAAGTGAGAGGTTTAGCTAGCTATAAAACCAGGTTTAATCCACCATTTTCTACATAAGGAAATGGCTGTACCAATTCAGGAATATGACAGTTGTTTTCCATTCGTTTGATGTGTTTGAACTTTTGATTTTGCCATTTGATAAGGAACTTTCCGATTTTAATTTTCCTTGGAGTTGGGTATTTTTGTTATTTTATTTTTTGTTAAAAGCTCTTATATTAAACAGAATGACGTCAAACTTACTGCATCAGCAATAAATATTAGGTTGTAAAATACTGTAGATTTATTATAATTCCTGGGGTACTGACTTTTGTGGCTTTCATGGGTATAGACAAACAAAAAATTTAAGAGTTTTTCAAAATACAAATGTTTGTATGCCAATAATATAAAGTTATGTACAAAAATCATTTTTCATCAATCCACATTAAAATTGATACAAAGGTGAATAAACTAGACATCATTGAGATGGGAGCCATCTCTGTAGGCCCTGCTGACCTTGAACTTTGACATAGGAAGTTGTACAAACATTTTGACACACCCTCTGGTGTTGGTTAATACACATGTCAAGTATAAAGTATGAAATTACAAGAAATGATTGTAACAGGATGCTGTTACGAAGTCTCCCAAACGAAGCTCCCATAATTCGTAATTCCCAGGGTCGCCTGATATTGAGCAACGTCCAGTGAAAATTGGTTTGGTCCAGTAAAGTTATATGCATTAGTGATGCCTGGGGACTAACCTTGTATATCATTCAAATCATCTTGGCATGACAAACCAGAATATATATGGTTTAGGGGTGGGGATCTCGACCATTTACAAGATACTAGAACTTGGGGGTGGGGAGGAACCCCTGGGGACTGGCCCTATATGTCATTCAAATGTTCATTACATGACGAACAGGAATATATATGGTTTAGGGGTGGGGATCTCAACCATTTACAAGATATTAGAACATTGGGGGTGGGGGGAACCCCTGGGGACTGACCGTATACGTCATTCAAATGTTCGAGACATGACAAATAGGAATATATATGGTTTAGGGGTGGGGATCTCAACCATTTACAAGATATAAGAACTTTCTCAAATGGCAGGAGGTCGGGATGACCCCTGGGGACTAACCCTGTATATCATTCAAACCATCTTAGCATGACAAACCAGAATATATATGGTTTAGGGGTGGGGATCTTGACCACTTAGAAGATATTAGAACTTTCTTAAATGGCAGGGGGGTGGGGTGACCCCTGGGGTCTAACCCTGTATTTCATTTGATGTGCTTTATCATGACAAACCAGAATATATATGGTTTAGGGGTGGGGATCTCGACCATTTACAAGATATTAGAACTTTCTCAAATGGCAGGGGGTCGGGATGACCCCTGGGGACTACTCCTGTATATCATTCAAACCATCTTAGCATGACAAACCAGAATATATATGGTTTAGGAGTGGGGATCTTGACCACTTACAAGGTATTAGAACTTTCTTAAATGGCAGGGGGTGGGGGTGACCCCTTGGGACTAACCCTGTATTTCAATTGATGTGCTTTATCATGACAAATAGGAATATATATGGTTTAGGGGTGGGGATCTCGACCATTTACAAGATATTAGAACTTTCTCAAATGGCAGGGGATCGGGATGACCCCTGGGGGACTAACCCTGTATATCATTGAAACCATCTTAGCATGACAAACCAGAATATATATGGTTAAGGGGTGGGGATCTTGACCACTTACAAGATATTAGAACTTTCTTAAATGGCAGGGGGTGGGGGTGACCCCTGCGGACTAACCCTGTATTTCATTTGATGTGCTTTATCATGACAAAACCAGAATATATATGGTTTAGGGGTGGGGATCTCGACCATTTACAAGATATTAGAACTTTCTCAAATGGCAGGGGGTCGGGATGACCCCTGGGGACTAACCCTGTATATCATTCAAACCATCTTAGCATGACAAACCAGAATATATATGGTTTAGGGGTGGGGATCTCGACCATTTACAAGATATTAGAACTTTCTCAAATGGCAGGGGGTCGGGATGACCCCTGGGGACTACTCCTGTATATCATTCAAACCATCTTAGCATGACAAACCAGAATATATATGGTTTAGGAGTGGGGATCTTGACCACTTACAAGGTATTAGAACTTTCTTAAATGGCAGGGGGTGGGGGTGACCCCTGGGGACTAACCCTGTATTTCATTTAATGGGCTTTATCATTTAGAACATTTTCAATTAAAAAGATTGTGTCTATCACGAACGGTTTTCAATTTATAATCATTTGAAAATTTAAAAAAATAAAATCCCATAGGGTTCTATAGTAAAACCCTCTTTTCTTTTTGCCCCTCAAAGTACCCCTTTATAAACCCCATTGCACAAACAAAACCCTGATTGCACCACTAGACATGTTAGTCTAACATATTGTGATACCCTAAGTTAATCTGACAAGTGGTTTTGGAGAACGGGTGCGGACAAGTTCAAATTTAAAAGCGGCGGAAGAATAATAATAATAATAACAAGAAATGATTGTAACAGGATGCTGTTACGAAGTCTCCCAAACGAAGCTCCCATAATTCGTAATTCCCAGGGTCGCCTGACATTGGGCAAAGTCTAGTGAAAATTGGTTTGGTCCAGTAAAGTTATATGCATTAGTGATGCATGGGGACTAACCCTGTATATCATTCAAATCATATTGGCATGACAAACCAGAATATATATGGTTTAGGGGTGGGGATCTCGACCATTTACAAGATATTACAACTTTCTCAAATGGCAGGGGGTCGGGATGATCCCTGGGGACTAACCCTGTATATCATTCAAACCATCTTAGCATGACAAACCAGAATATATATGGTTTAGGGGTGGGGATCTTGACCACTTACAAGATATTAGAACTTTCTTAAATGGCATAGGGTGGGGGTGACCCCTGGGGACTAACCCTGTATTTCATTTGATTTGCTTTATCATGACAAACAAGAATATATATGGTTTAGGGGTGGGGATCTCGACCATTTACAAGATATTACAACTTTCTCAAATGGCAGGGGGTTGGGATGACCCCTGGGGACTAACCCTGTATATCATTCAAACCATCTTAGCATGACAAACCAGAATATATATGGTTTAAGGGTGGGGATCTTGACCACTTTCAAGATATTAGAACTTTCTTAAATGGCATAGGGTGGGGGTGACCCCTGGGGACTAACCCTGTATTTCATTTGATTTGCTTTATCATGACAAACAAGAATATATATGGTTTAGGGGTGGGGATCTCGACCATTTACAAGATATTACAACTTTCTCAAATGGCAGGGGGTTGGGATGACCCCTGGGGACTAACCCTGTATATCATTCAAACCATCTTAGCATGAAAAACCAGAATATATATGGTTTAGGGGTGGGGATCTTGACCACTTTCAAGACATTAGAACTTTCTTAAATGGCATGGGGTGGGGGTGACCCCTGGGGACTAACCCTGTATTTCATTTCATGTGCTTTATCATGACAAACCAGAATATATATGGTTTAGGGGTGGGGATCTCCACCATTTACAAGATATTACAACTTTCTCAAATGGCAGGGGGTCGGGATGACCCCTGGGGACTAACCCTGTATATCATTCAAACCATCTTAGCATGACAAACCAGAATATATATGGTTTAGGGGTGGGGATCTTGACCACTTACAAGATATTAGAACTTTCTTAAATGGCATGGGGTGGGGGTGACCCCTGGGGACTAACCCTGTATTTCATTTCATGTGCTTTATCATGACAAACCAGAATATATATGGTTTAGGGGTGGGGATCTCGACCATTTACAAGATATTACAACTTTCTCAAATGGCAGGGGGTCGGGATGACCCCTGGGGACTAACCCTGTATATCATTCAAACCATCTTAGCATGACAAACCAGAATATATCTGGTTTAGGGGTGGGGATCTTGACCACTTACAAGGTATTAGAACTTTCTTAAATGGCAGGGGGTGGGGTTGACCCCTGGGGACTAACCCTGTATTTCATTTAATGGGTTTTATCATTTAGAACATTCTCAATTAAAAAGATTGTGTCTATTACAAACGGTTTTCAATTTATAATCTTTTGAAAATAAAAAAAAATAAAATCCCATAGGGTTCTATAGTAAAACCCTCTTTTCTTTTTGCCCCTCAAAGTACCCCTTTATAAACCCCATTGCACAAACAAAACCCTGATTGCACCACTAGACATGTTAGTCTAACATATTGTGAAACCCTAAGTTAATCTGACAAGCGGTTTTGGAGAACGGGTGCGGACAAGTTCAAATTTAAAAGCGGCGGAAGAGGAAGAGGAAGAGGAAGAAGAATAATAATAATAATAAGAACTGAGCAAAAACAATAAGTCTTCCCAAACTTCGTTTGGGAGACTTAATAATGGTTCTCTAGATATAGAGGGGACACAATTAGTTACGGACGGACTGACGGATGGACAGACTGATCACTATAGGGTGACTCACCACTAGGTGGGACCCTAATGAATTGACAATAACTTACCATATACATATCTTTGGATATTTTGTTATCATCATGGGCCTTCTCTAAAATCTGTAAATTTTGTTTCTGGTCTGCCAGAGTCAGCTTCAATTCAATTTCAGGATCAGCTTTTCTCTGAAAAACATTCCAGTCAATATAGCCATCTTTGATTTCAGATCAGCATGAAATGACTAATTCTTATGAATCCTCGGTTCACCATTGATCTTACTTTCAAATCTCTTAAACTTTTTCAAATTGGTTCTAAGAAAAAAAGTTACATGGTGGGGAATTAAGGAGGTGGAATGATCGTGAAACAGTAGGTATAAATACTTATCCATAATTTTCTAACTTATGATTGTTCTGATTTTTTTTCTTCAGATTATTCACATAATGGTTTGGCAGGCCCCACTTTATTGAGCTACATGATTGTATGGTTAATGCATAGACTTTTTACATGTCCAACTCCAAATGTTGCTTTGGTGGGCCCCCTATTTCAAAATCTGTGACCCACAACTGAAGACATCAAGTATGACACCAACAAACTAGAGGCTCTCAAGAGCCTGTGTTGCTCAACTGTATCTACTGTGGTTTTGGAAATCATGAAAAATAAGGTTAAAATCATAATAAATAGTATTTGATATACTAATAATGATTGAGGCCAGGTATGGTTTAATTCGGCCAAGTAGTTAAATTTAAAGCAGGTCATCCTTTTGTAGTCTTACAATAGTTACTGAAGACCCTTTATCAAAAAAAAATTTATAAAAAATTGTGAAAAATTGTGAAAAATTTATTTTAAAGGGTAATAACTCCTGAAGGGGGTCAATTGACAATTTTGATCATGTTTGACTTATTTGTAGATCTTACTTTGCTGAACATTTTTGCTGTTTACAGTTTATCTTTATCTATTATAATATTCAAGATAACAACCAAAAACTGCAAAATTTCCTTAAAATTACCAATTCAGGGGCAGCAACCCAACAACGGGTTGTCTGAAACCCAACAACGGGTTGTCTGATGTGTCTGAAAATTTCAGTGCAGATAGATCTTGACCTGATTAACATTTTTACCCCATGTCAGATTTGCTCTAAATACTTTAGTTTCAGAGATATAAGCCAAACTGCATTTTACCCCCATGTTCTATTTTTAGCCATGGCGGCAATCTTGGTTGATGGGCGGGTCATTGGATACATTTTTTAAACTAGATACCCTAAGGATGATTTAGGCCAAGTTGGTTTTATTTGGCCCAGTAGTTTCAGAGGAGAAAATTTTTGTAAAAGTTAATGGACGACGACGGATGACGGACACCAAGTGATGAGAAAAGCTCACTTGGCCCTTTTGGGCCAGGTGAGCTAAAAATTAAATCCCTAATGAGCATAAAACGAGGAACACATCTATAATTACTTTCAAAAAATCTTTGTGTAATGAAATTGAAAATTATAAATAATTGACTGAGATTATTCATTTTTTGCTATTTGAAGAGCAGAAGACCATAAAATAAACAAGTAAAAGAAGGTCTCAAGTCCCAAATGGCAGGGGTTGCAATATTTGTGAAGTCCCCAAGTCTGGAAAAATGAGAAAAAAATTCCTCAAACAATTCCATAATAGCAAGTGCACAACTTCAACATATGTGCAACCTTCCTGTGAAGTTTCAGGGATCTGGGTTGGAAACAGTTTCAGATGAGTCGAAGTTTTACCAATCAAAATCAAACATTTATTCTGAAAAAAATGCCATTGTTTATAAACAGCAGATATCATCTCAATAACCTAATCTGACCAACAAAGTATGAAAATGAGTTGAGATCAATATGCTATAATACAGATAGACATATACTCAGAACAATAATCAAGTCTCAATGGCAGAGTGGTCTATGTACTGTGGATTCATTAATGTTCGTTGCATACCAATTCTCGTGGATTTCGTGAGTATAGGGGAACCAGGAATTTAAATGTTCAACGAATTACAAATTTTCTAAAGGAATGTATGCAGACTTTGCCAAAACCACGAAATCAAATATCCACGAATATGCAAGTTTTCCTCAAACCATGAAAATTGGTGCCCACGAAGAAAAATGAATCCACAGTATTTCATCTACAGCATGTACAGTGATCACTAGCCTGTCAATACTCAGATTATCATACCTGCTCGTCATAAGGTGCGTTTGACTCTGATTTTAATTGACTAGGAGTGCCAGTGTTCCTGCCAAAAGTCATGGTTTTCTCAGGGTACTCAAGCCTCCTCCACCAATAGAAATTGGCTGGCATGGAAAAGCCAAGAGTGCTTAAATTGGCTTTAAACACCAACATTCAATCTCCCAAAAATCCACATACCATACATTATGATTATTATAAAAATATATAAAATTCCCTTTCTTTGTGCCCCTTTATATGACTGTTATTAATGATAGACAAACCTGTTTGAGTTCCATTTTAATATTAGGAATAACAAAGTCTTCTTGTTCCTTAATTTTCTCTTCAATGCTGGTCTGGAAATCACCTTGTCTAAATAAAAAATAAACCAAATACAAAGTTTAAACTACTATAAATGTGTATATTTTCTTTGGTTATCATTTTCAGTGACAACAATGCAACAACTTTTCACACTGGGGGTTATTAATTCACACATAAAATATAATTGAGCTTTTTGTATCTATTTTGATAATTCATACAAACTATCAGCACAGTGGATATTTTCAAGCATTTTGGGTTAGGGAGCTACCATTTGATTTTTAGGGGGGCTAGGATGAAATTTGAAAAAAAAAGCAGGACAGGAGTTTTGAGGGAAAAAAAAGGCAGGATGAGCAACTTGGCAAAAAAAATTCGTAAGGGTTCCGCGGAACCCAGTGTCTCGCCTACTTTTTGCTGTTAATCGCAGGCTCAACAAAAATGAGGAAAAAAATTAATAAAAATATTCCTCTCTATACTATCTTTTGATTGTAAGTAGCTTCTGTCCAAGTTTGGTAAAAATCCAGGATAGTTTATGAATCTAATAAATGTTTTAAAAACTTAAAGTGCAGACTGTATGTAATGTTAACTGGAAGAAAAACTAAGTCCATTTATAAGTAAAATACGGAAAAAATGGATTTTTTTTTTTACTTTTTAACAAAATTTACTTCTGGATACTATCTTTTGATCATAAACAAGCTTCTTTCCAAGTTTGGTAGAAATCCAGGATAGTTTAAGAAAGTTATTAAAATTTCAAAAACTTTAACCACAGAGTGAATGTAATATGTTTCTTGGCAGAAAAACTAAGTCCATTTATAAGTAAAATACGGAAAAAATGGATTTACAAAATTTACTTTTGAATATTATCTTATGATCATAAACAAGCTTCTGTCCAAGTTTGGTAGAAATCCAGGATAGTGTAAGAAAGTTATTAAAATTTCAAAAACTTTAACCACAGAGTGAATATTTGTGGACGCCGCCAACGACGACGCCGACGGAATGTAGGATCGCTATGTCTCGCTTTTTCGACAAAAGTCGAAGGCTCGACAAAAAGGCAGGATGACAATTTATGTAAAAAAAGTCAGGATAAACTAATAAAAAAGGCAGAACTGAATAGAGTGAAAAATAAAAAGGCAGGACCGAGATTACAACTAAAAAAAAAAAGCAGGACCAAATTTTTCATCCTAGCCCCCCCCATAAAAATAAAATGGTAGCTCCCTTATCCTCAAATCTCTTAGACATTTTTTACATTTGGTTGTTCTCTAGATTAAATATGATTGAGTCCTACTCTCATCTTGTGATATTGCCGATAATTTCTCCTCTGATATTGTGACATCACAGATAGGTTCTTCACTGACATTGTGACATCACTGATAAGTTCTCCTTTGACATTACTGATAAGTTCTTCTCTGACATTGTGACATTACTGATAAGTTCTTCTCTGACATTGTAACATCACTGATAGGTTTTCTGACATTGTGACATCACTGATAGGTTTTCTGACATTGTGACATCACTGATAAGTTCTCCTTTGACATTGTGACATCACTGATTAGTTCTCTGATATTGTGACATCATTGATAAGTTCTCCTCTGACATTGTGACATCACTGATACGTTCTCTGCTGACATTGTGACATCACTGATAAGTTCTACTCTGACATTGTGATATCATTGATAAGTTCTCCTCTGATATTGCATCATCACTGATAAGTTCTTCACTGACATTGTGACATCACTGATTGGTTCTACTCTGACATTGTGACATCACTCTGATAAGTTTTCTGACATTGTGACATCACTGATAAGTTCTCCTCTAACATTGTGACATCACTGATAAGTTCTCTGCTGACATTGTAACATCAGTGATTAGTTCTCTGATATTGTGACATCATTGATAAGTTCTCCTCTGACATTGTGACATCATTGATAAGACATTGTGACATCACTGATAAGTTCTCTGCTGACATTGTAACATCAGTGATTAGTTCTCTGATATTGTGACATCATTGATAAGTTCTCCTCTGACATTGTGACATCATTGATAAGTTCTCCTCCGACATTGTGACATCACTGATAAGTTCTCCTCTGATATTGTGACATCACTGACAAGTTTTCCTCTGACATTGTGACATCACTGATAAGTTTTCTTCTGACATTGTGACATCACTGATAAGTTCTCTTCTGACATTGTGACATCACTGATAAGTTCTCCTCTGATATTGTGATATCATTGATAAGTTCTCCTCTGACATTGTGACATCACTCTGATAAGTTCTCCTCTGACATTGTGACATCACTGATAAGTTCTCCTCTAACATTGTGACATCAGTGATAAGTTCTCTGACATTGTGACATCACTGATAAGTTTTAACTGTGACACTGTGACATCTCTAATAAGTTCTCCTCTGACATTGTGACATCATTGATTAGTTCTCCTCTAACATTGTGACATCACATCAAGTTCTGCACAAGCATTAAAAGGACTTGTTTAAGAATTCCAAAGCAACTGAACTGGGTGGAGTAGGTACAGGAAAGTAACTCCTTTATCATTTCTTGCTAGGTGCCTGACACTCTCCAACACTAGTTGTGTATTTGATACAAATTTACTAAAGTTTTTATAAGAGACAACTCTCCATCCACAACACAATGTGAAAAGTAAACAATTATAGGTCAAAGTATGGCCTTCAACATGGAGCCTTGGTTTAAACCGAACAGCAAGCTATAAAGGGCCCCAAAATGACTAGTGTAAAACAATTCAAACAGGAAAACCAACGGTCTAATCTATATAAAAAACGAGAATCGAGAAACACTAATGAACCACATCAACAAACGACAACTACTGAACATCAGATTCCTGACTTAGGACAGGTGCAAACAAATGTCATACCCACTTTTAACTTTTTATCCATACTCACAATGGTAACATTGTGACATAATTTATCACTTCCAGAATTTGTACTTCAAAGCGATTTTGTATATTGTTTTTATCCTGATGAAGGTGCCGTAGGCACCGAAACATGTCGATCTAATTAAATTACTGCAGCAATTCCTAAAGTGTTGTTGTTATAACAGTCTTCACATTTTATGTTTTTATCATAACAACTCTGCATTCCTGAGGTATCTTCTTTAGGAATTCTATCGTATTGAAGATTTACCAGGTGTTTGTTCACTGTTGTTTGTTAAATATCATAATGTGTTCTAGACGATGGTACTCTCTGTGAAAAAAACCTATGACAAAGTTAAGTTCGGTAAGGGCCATATTTGGCCTTGATTATGAAGTTCAATGTTTCAAGATAAAATATGTTTTAAGCTGATGAAAAGACAAGTGAAAAAGTTTAAAAGAACTATTTTTGTCCATGTTTTACTTTAAAGCGTTGATTTTTATATTCCAAATAGGCCAAAAGTAGAGATTTTTGCGAAAATTGACAAAATCGTCCAGATTTCAACCAGATTCAGGCCTAGGAAAATACAGCGCAGACATCTAATACATTTTATTGTTTTGTGATATATAAGTTTCAGTAAAATTACCTTTTAACTTTTGTGGTTGTACCCTAGAACAGATTCTTTTTTTAGTATTTTTCTTATAAACACTTCATAACATTCATTTTATTTTACTTTGTTAATACATGTAACTTGCCAAGGAAATCTCAAGTTTTCAGCAGAAAGAAATGTACACTTATACATCCTGGCACTTTCTAGTGATCACATGATCAATTACATCATGGGACTTTCTAGTGATCACATGATCAATTACATTCTGGGAATTTCTAGTGATCACATGATCAATTAATATTGTAGATTTTAAAGTGTATACATACAATATATCCATATCTTTCTGAAGTTTGTTGTACATCTGCCAAACCATGTGATATCTATTTAACAGACCATGATATTTCTTATCCTACAACAAAAAGTTAAAAAATGATATCATTTCGATACAAAAGATCATAATTACTCTTTCTAAAACAAATTTTAGAAATCAATTACTGCATAGCATTTATAACACCATGTTTCTCAGTGGAAAATAATGTGCATCAAATTACAATTTAAAGTCCAACTCACGATTGTAGAAATGACTTTTGGGTGAGCGCTATAATTTACTCTCATATGCCTTACTGCTTTGCTTTGTAAAAGACAATAATAAAATTCTAGATATATCTATATTTAGTGCAGACTCACAGATGTATATATCTATGGCTGTAACATTTTTCCTACCACGTAAATCCATATGTATCGTAACCTATGTGCAAACTATTTTGATTTTGCAATGTTCAAATTAAAATTGAAAAAAACCAACAAAACCATTTTTCTTATTTTAATGCAAAGCAAAAATAATTAGTGTATTTTGAGCTTGGAAAAATGTACAAAACTAAAATGAAATAAAATTCTGCCAAATCCCATGAATGATCTTTGCACATTCACTCATGTCAAAACACGGTACGGTCTTCAACACAGAGCCTTGGCTCACACTGAACAGCAAGCTATAAAGAGCCCCAAAAATTACTAGTGTAAAACCATTCAAACGGGAAAACCAACGGTCTAATCTATATAAAAAACGAGAAACGAGAAACACTTATGAACCATATCAACAAACGACAACTACTGAATATCAGATTCCTGACTTAGGACAGGTGCAAACAATTGCAGCGGGTTTAAACGTTTTAATGGTACCAAACCTTCACCCTTATCTGAAACAATAGTGTAACATCACAACATAGAAAGACACACTATAAAATATCAATCAAAAGACGTATTAACACCAGTGAACCTACACTGAACAAATAAATTTGATCTATGATACAATGTAAATACAAAATAAATAAACTAAGGGAAGAATAATTAAAGTAACATGTTATACCACTGTGAAATGTTAAACAATTTAAGAAAAACAATATGCTAGAACAAAAATATCAGCCATTTGCAATTAATTTAAACACAGGTAAATATAAATAATTTTGTTGTTAGGTATACGTGTACAGTTCAAATGGAGAAAGGAAATATGTTAGGTATACGTATACAGTTAAATAAGATAATGGAAAGATGTTTTACCTCTAGCCAAAATCCTTTTATAATAATATTCAGGCCAATTGAATGTTTGGATTTAACACAATTTTATTTCAATAAATAATGACATAGCTATACTGGAAATTATTAGTTTTTTCTTACAGGGAGTAAAATAGAACAGTCACACACAAGGCACATTTTTCTTCGCTTCAGTTTTTTAAAATTACTGTATTTTTCCTATTAGAATCAAAATAATTGAAGCAAGCCATAGATTTGTGATCATTATCACATGGCTTGGGGCAATTATATTCATTAATGTTATCCTAAAAGCTTATGCTCAGAATAAAATTTAAATATAACAACCCAGGCCATGTGAAAATTTCCAAAATATCTATGGCTTGCATGAAATATTTCTTAAGTAATAACCTTGGCTTGCTCTTCAGTAAGTGTCATCTGCTCAAACTTCTCCAGTCTATCTTTAGCCACTTGCAGTCTCCGGGCTATGTGTATAGTCTCAGTTTTAGCAGTGTCCATTGTTTTCATTCTGGTCTGTAAAACAGAAAAGTATCATTAGGTCCATATCAAGTGACAGCCGAAGATAAAGAAGATAATGTAGATGTTTTACCTCTAGCCGAACTCCTTTTGATAATATTCAGGCCAAATACATGTTGATGTAATATGAATTTACTCTGAGAATTATAAATACTGTAAATTCAGAAATTATTGCGAGGATTTTATTAATGCGAAAAATGCGACTGTGTGACAATCGCAATAATAAGAACTCGCATTCTGATATCTGATGCATATATCTGTATGCAGCTTTTCCTGAAATCGCAAAAATTAAGCTCGCATTTATGTCCATTCTTCAAAAATCGCAATAATAAATGCACGCAATAATTTCTGAATTTACAGTACAAGATTCACAGACATTATGAGAGATTCTCAACAGTCTGATGTCATCCCATCCCCACCCATTATTCTATGAGCCGACATTTATGGTGGAATGTTAGTTTACATATAACGTCAAAGGAAAACTTAATCAAAAATCTTTTCTGTTTCCTCAAACTTATTCAAAATTGAACTAAATTCTAAAAAACATCTGATGTTTGCTAGGTGAATAATATAGACACGGACTGAATTTTGACATTCCTCTACAGGTATCATTGGCCTAAACCCCAGTCCAATTACAGCCTAATCATGCTGAGCTTGCAGATATTGTGGAGTTGGTGATCACTTTACATTTGGTTCAAGACTTTCACCTCTGACCATATTATTTTTCACTTCAACCTTGCATTAGCTTAAAATCTCAAAGTACTAACTTGTACATAATCAACAATTGCCTTGACCTACCTCTGCATCTTTGACCTTGACCCTGATTTCAGTTTGTCTGTCAGACGTTCTCGGCTCATACTGATGCTGCATAGTTCCTTTGATCATCATCCTCATAGCCAGGAAGGCATTTGATATAATTAATTCCATATTATGCATATCTGAAAAAAAATTTACATATTAAACAATGAACTAAACCATTCACACCTCAAAGCAAGATAGATTATGGTCTGGATGGGTTCTTCATATCTTTATTCTTTAATTTTTTGCGTTTTATTCTGTATTCTTTGCCCATTATGCTCTATTCTGTAAACCACATCCAGATCCTCAAAGATGGCCTCTATGTTTATTTAAAAGATACGCTGATGTTGTGTTTAACTAATACACTTTTCAAAACAATTTGAAGCTTAATCATGTATAATGAACAATAAACATTTGTGAATATTATAGAGAAACTGATAACACATGAAGTATCCCCATTCGAAAATATGCGGAGGGATCCCAATCCCATGGAGCAATTACACGAGACAGCAAACAGTGGGGAAGTCAAATGTGGATCCGATTCCCAAGGAGCATAATCTTCTGTGGGAAACGGATCCAGATTCTACCAACCCACAGTTTGCAGCCTCGTGCAATTGGTCCTCAGGGTTCTGATCACTTTGCAGATTTCAGATCGGGATACCTGGTTTAAAACAAAATTCCCCTCTAAATGTTTGAATTCAGCCACAAAAACAAAAATGTGTCCATAGTTCACATATGCCCTACTCGCACTATCATTTTCTATGTTCAGTGGACCGTGAAATTGTGGTAAAAACTCTAATTTGGCATTAAAATTAGAAAGATCATACCATAGGGAACATGTGCACCGGTACTAAGTTTCAAGTTGATTGGACTTCAACTTCATCAAAAACTACCTTGACCAAAAACTTTAACCTGAAGTGGGACAGACGGACGGACGGACAAACGGACGCAGAGACACAATGCCCCTACTACTATCGTAGGTTAGGCATAAAAAATTGAAGGCTTTATGACCTGGCATTTTCTTTCTAAAAGCAAGTCATGAACTTTCAGATCGAGAGCTTAACAGGTATGTTCATGAAAAACTGAATAAAATGCATGGTAAGAAATTTCTACAAAATATGTACTTACATTCTACTACATTAGCCACAAGCATTGTCAGTAGTTCTTTTGGATCTGGTACAAGCTGGAAAAAAGTGGAAACTTTGTAATTGTATTTCTTTTTACTTTCAGACTTACAAAACAAAAGAACGTAATAATCAATTTACCCTCATTTAATTTTTCTTTATGTATCCAAAACATGTTGTTTGCACTGTCAAGAAAGATGTGTTATTTCTTACCTAGAGACAATTAATTAAAAAAAAATTAAACATGAGGGTTCCCCAAATTCAAAGTACCACTACTTCACTTATAAATGAGACCGTGTGTCATTATCTGCTTAGAGAAGATATAAGTATGACTATGGCCATCAAGTACTGATATTTCAGAAAATTGCGAAAGGATAGATTGTTAAAATAAACTGCTCCGCTCAGCGCAGCTGGATACGCCCGCAGAGGTCCAACCCTGAACAGTTGGGGCAAAAATGGACACAATATTCAAGCTTGATACAGGTCTGAATTTGGATTGTATTAAATATTTGACATATTATAGGTTTCTGAATAAATGTAGTCAAAGAACTTGAAATTGGTTATATGAATTGAATTTATATTCAATTAAAGATTTCTTGCTGTTGTGCAATACACTGTGCTGTTGCGCAATACTTAGTAAATCTGTTGTCAGACTATAAACAATTAAAGTTCAATTTATTCTCAATGTCATATTAGAAATTTATGAAAATATAAAGGGAGCTTACATCAATAGATATAAACAATTCACCAAAGTTTCATGAGAATTGCTGACAGCATTTTTGAGTTATTGTCCGAAAACTGGAAAATCCCCCCTTTTTTAATGAATAAAACCCCATAACTCAGAAATGTAAAATGTAAAATTTATAAAATTCTAAACAGAGCTTACATCAATAGATATAAACAATTCACCAAAGTTTCAAAAGAACTGCTGAAAGCATCTTTGATTTTTTGTCCGAAAACTGGAAAATCCCCCTTTTTTATGAAAAAAACCCTTTAACTCGGAAACGTAAAATCTAAAATATATAAAAATCAAAAGGGAGCTCATGTCAATAGATATAAACAATTCACCACAATTTCTTGCAAGTTGGTGAAAGCATTCTTGAGTTATTGTCCGAAAACTGGAAAATCCCACTTTTTTTAATGAATAAAACCCCATAACTCGGAAATGTAAAATCTAAAATTTATAAAAAACGAAAGGGAACTCACGTCAATAGATATAAACAATTCACCAAAGTTTTATGCAAATTGGTTAAAGCGTTTTTGAGTTAATGTCCGACATGTTGACGACGGACGGACAGACGGACAGACGGACGGACGGACAGACGGACAATGGTATACCATAATACGTCCCGTAAACGGGCGTATAAAAAACGCTAAAGGCTCTGAAGAGCCTGTGTCGCTCACCTGCATCTTCAACAATGGCAACTTTTGGTAAAAATTAATGGACAATTACTCCGTGAAATGTTAACTGACAATTTCAGTCATGTTGACGTATATATATAGATCTTTTCCTACTGATCATTTTTGCTTGTTAAAGTTTCGCTCTATCTAGTATAGTTTTCAAGATAATAGGCAAAAACATGGTAAAAATCATCATTTAAGGTCAAAAACTCACACTGTTGATTCATAAATTTTTCATGCATACCAATTTTTCGTGGATTGAGAAAAAAATAATGTTTTTGTGGATATTTTTGTGTAAGTGCCAAAGTTTGCATACAAGCAAATATAAAATTTGTAATTCGTTGAACATATAAATTCGTGGTTTACCTATACCCATGAAATCCTCCAAAAATTAAGTTTCAAAGAATAATAATGAATCTGCAGTGTAAGGAGATGACTGACCAATGTTGACTTATGTGTATATGCTGTCTTGCTGATCATTTTAGCTATTTAGATTTCTATCTTTCTATTATGGTTTTCAAGACAAAAGGCAAAAATGCAAAAATTTGGTAGAAATCTTCATTTAATAACTGCTACAAAGCATTGACCATTTTTGCTATTTAAAGTTTCTATTTATCTGTTATAGTTTTCAAGAAAAAAAAATTAATAAAAATTGGTAAAATTCATTATTTAAGGACAATAACTCCTGAAAAAAATCGTTTGACAGTTTAGATGTAATCAGAAAATAGGTAGATCTCTACATTCTGAACATATATGCTTCAGTCAGATTTTCTGCATCATTAGCAGTATTCAAGATAATAGACAAAAACTTGCATTTTACCCATATGTTCTATTTTTAGCCATGTCAGCCAAGTTCGTTGGCAGGCGGGCTTGTCAGACACAATTTTTAACCAAGATACCCGTAGGATGATTGTGACTAACTTTGGTTCCAATTGGTGATGATAATTAAGTTGTGATAAAAAGCTCATTTCACCCTTTATGCCAGGTGAGCAAAACATTGGATTAAAATTTTGATAGCTTTGGTTGTATGCAGCTTTTTATGAAATAGCAAAAAAAATCATCTCACATGTTTATTCATTGGTTAAAAATGGCAAAAACAATTGAATAGCTGACTTTGTGATATGAGTTTTGCTCATTGTTGAAGGCTGTACAGGGACATTAAGTTGCTTATACATGTATCAAGGTCATTGGGACTCTGGTAGAGAGTTGTCAATCATACATTTTCTTATTCTTATATGGCCATGTCTTTATACCTGGTCTGGTATTAAGTTCTTGAGTTTTTGTAAGGAATACACAAGATCTTTAAGGTTTTCTTTCTCCATTAGTGTACACATATGATCTCGGAAGTGCATGATAGCCCTCAATACACGAATAACATCCTTCTGTATAGCACTTAAGTGGTCTTTGTGTGCATTCTCACACCTTTTGACAGCAGCTGTGCTCCTAAATAACAAGCAAATCATTGTAGTTCAAATGTTAAAAGCTAGCCACTGATCATTCATAAATAACAAATTTCCTAAAACTTGAATCATCATTAAAGTGAAAAATAGACAAAGATATATGTCTGGCCTGTGTAACTTATAACAAACATCAACAATTGTTAATGATGGTAATGCCACTTGAAACAGCAGACTTAAGTCTTGTTTCCACATTTATTGTCATAGGCAAGACAAAAAGTTTATATGCACTTTCACATTATAAACATTCCAGCAATGGTATTAAAACAATTTGTTAGAAATTTCTAAAGCAGCAGACATGCTTATAAGCTTACAGTCACTTCATGTTTACTAGATTACATTGTTGCAGGAGATGCAATGAAAAAAATTAATGTTCACTATTTACCATTTATTGTAACTTTAAAACCCCAATTCAATTTCATCTATCAACATAGGAAATAAAAATATTGTTATAACCACACCAAAAACCAGGGGTGATATCCAATCTCTGTAAGAGTAAGCAGATCCAGCTTCACTTGTGGCACCTGTCCTATTGCTCATGGCATATATGTGATACAGATCTTTTATAATGGTCAATCATGATGGCAAGAAAATAGATCAACTCTTGATCATATCAACTGCAGAACCCTTAATCGACATAGTGTAAGATGTGAATTTTCTTATTCTCAATATAAAGTGCATGTACAAATTCTGATTGCAAACTATCAAATCTAAAAGAAATGTCTAAGGAACACTATCATATTTCTATGATCACTTAAACTTCGAAATCTTGGTTAAAATCCTGATTTGGCATATATTCAAAATATTTCACATTGTTATGAACCTATGTACTAAGTTTCCAAATCATATGACCACATCTTTATGGTTAGCTACCTTAAATAAATTTTTATCTTGATCATGACAGACAAATGGTCAGAATAATGGATAGACTAATTAAGGGACACATTGACCAGAAAACACAATTATTTTATGCCCTCTTCTATTGATATAGAAAAATAGAGAGACTAACTGATGGCCTAGTGGATGGACACATACACCAGAAAACATAATGCACCCCAACTGTCCTAGGTGGGTCATACAAAATTATGTACATGTTTTACCTTTGTTTTTCTTTCCGTAAGTGAGCTTTAAGTTTCTCCAGTTCTTGGGAGAAATCTCTCTTCATCCCAGTTAACAATTTCTTAAAGTAAGCTGAATCTTTATCTGCTGGTACTGATTCTGTTGTCTGCACCTACAAAGTTTTAAAATCATTTTTTAAATTACTTGTATGATATAAAAAAATTGTAAATGTGGTATGATTGCCAATGAAACAATTTTCCACCAGATACCAAATGACATAGATGTTAGCAACCATAGGTCACCTTATGACCTTCAACAATGTTTGCCTTATTATCAACCTTTCAGCTTTAGCAGCAGTTTTTTTAGTGTTATAAATGGTTGGAAACAAATACTGTAAAAGTAAGTGAACAAAAAAGTACCCAAAAAACTGCATTTAAGGATGTACTTATAGATGATAGTTAGGCAATGTGTATAAAGACAACTGTTCAGCCATTACATTTTATATACAACTAACGTATTTCCGCCCAAGGCGACGTCACTGACAATACGACGTCGACAATGGAAAAGTACAATAGTACGGACGTTATGTTCCCGCGACAATCTCAACATACTGGGGCCGCGAAAAGTCAAATATATCACAATTTTCTAAATAATCTCAATTATCCATTGATCAATCGTTTCACTGATAAATTACTGTCCATCAATAAATAATAATACTTTGAAATTGTCTCTCGCGTTGTGTTTTTCTTTGAAATACTGAGTACATGAAATCATTTAAAACGGAAATTACATTTAGCAATTAAATTCAATTAATGTCACTCATTAAATAAGAATAAAATTCAACTTTGCACTAAAACGCGTAATTGTCGTCTTTAACATCATTGGTGTATCCACTTCCGTATGGTCTCACGGGCTTTAAGACTTGCTTTTCGTCTCGGTCTGTTCTCCATATTTTCCTGCTGATCATCTATTGGAACGTTAGAATTGTTTGTCATCGTTTGTGTAACTTCTAATGGATATAATTTTGCGATCGGTCTAGTTGTTTCCCCATTGTTGGTTCTTATTCGTGCAGATCTTACAAGTCCGTCGTTACCTCTCGCCAGTTCGGTTACGATCCCAATTTTCCAGTTTATACGCGGAGATTCGTTGTGAATTTGCACGATGTCTCCTGTATTTATTAATTGTTCATTTTTTCCGGTAGTCCTATGAAATTCACGTAACGACGTAAGGTATTCGGATTTCCATCTTTTCCAGAAATGTTGAATCAATTGCGTTTGTCTTTGTACACTTTTATTAAGATCGTAATGTCCCATGTAAGTCGGGTCGGTGATGTTATCGATTTCTGGTTGTGGGTACGGTAATGTTGAAATGCGCCTTCCGTATAGTAGATGAGACGGTGTTAAAGCTTCACAGTCTTTGATATCGGACGATGGATAAGTAAGCGGTCTGTCGTTTAAGATAGTTTCTATTTCCGCAACAATTGTTTGTAATGTTTCCATGTTAACTTGCGATCGTCCAAGCACTTTTTTCAAACTTGTCTTCGTAAGAGCAATCAAGCGCTCCCAGAATCCACCATACCATGGTGCACGTTTCGGTATGAATCTCCACTCTACACCGTGTGTTGATAAAGTATCTTTTACTATATCCGATTCACATAATCTTTTTATTTCCTCAGATCCTGCAATGAATGTAGATGCATTGTCAGATACTAGAATTTTAGGCAGAGATTTACGGCTAACAAAGCGTCGAAATGCCTGAATAAATGAATGTTCGCTCATGTTTGGAACTACTTCGAGATGAACTGCTCTAGTCGATGCGCACGTAAATAAGCATATATACGCTTTCTTTAAAGTTCCTTCTTGATCCCTTACGTATAAAGCGCCTGTATAATCGACCCCTGTGACGGTAAATGGCGAGGCTTCCTGTACTCTTATTTTCGGAAGCGGTGGCGGGTCCGGTTTGCTGTAAGATTTTCCCATAACTTTGCGGCAAGTTACACACTTATTCAATAACTTCTTAATAAATTGTCGAAGTGTCGGTACCCAATACGATTGTCGTACAAAAGTCAGCGTAGCATTAAGTCCAGAATGGAGTGAACGTTCGTGTGCGTCTATCACAATCAGTTTGGTAAGTGGATGATTCGCAGGTATAAGGTACGGAAATTTGGTATTCTCTGAAATCGGTGCATTGTGAATTCTTCCATTGCATCTCACAAGACCATCGTCATCTATGAAGAGTCCTAATTGTCTTATTCTTGGAAATTTCATTGTGTTTTTATTTCGTGTGTCCTTTGAACTTTTTATTTCGGCTGAATATGAAGATTCTTGGCAATCTAATATCCATGAACGCACCGCGGTATTTATATCATATGTCGTCAAAATTCCACCTTTTCTCCGATGTTTGGTATATAGGCAGTTAGATATGAACCGCTGAACGTAAGCAGTTACTCGAATCAATTTCCTGAAAGTCCCATATTTCGAAATGTCTATAACGTTACTAATACCATAGTGATCAGTATGAACTTCATTGTTTAGAAATTCCTCTTCGTCGTTTTCTCCTGTAATTGTCATTACCATTTTACTTGTGGGAGTTATTTCTGGCCATTTTGTGCGATCCGTTAACCAATTTGGTCCTTTTTTCCAAATGACACTATCGATGTATTGATCGGCGTTAATTCCTCGTGTTAAGAGATCGGCTGGATTGCATTCTGTTGGACAATATCTCCATTCATGTTGATTTGTAGATTCCGTTATTTCTCTCACTCGATTCGCAATAAATCGTTTTAACGGTTTCGCTGATTTTAACCAGTGCAATACTATGCAGCTATCCGACCAGAAAACCACGTTTTTACATTCGAAAGTCGATTGTACATGTGACGCTAGTCTAGTTCCAATAACTGCGGCCATAAGTTCTAGTTGCGGTAATGTTAGGTTTTTCACTGGCGCTACTCTGCTTTTTGCCATCAGTAACGCAGTTTCGGTTCCGTTGTTCAGATATGCGGTCGCTCCATACGCCTTTGGACTGGCATCGCAAAATACGTGTAGTTCAAGTTGTTCCGAAGTAGAATTACCGGAGAAATAATATCTCGGAAAGACGATTTGTGTCGCTTTCTCTAAGTCGCTTGCTACATTAATCCAAGTAGCCTTAAAGTTTTCCGGAACTTGTTCATCCCAATCCAGTCCACTTTTCCATAGATCCTGTATTAGTGTCTTTGCTCTTATTGTTACCGGGCTGATTATTCCAAGTGGATCGTATATTTTCGACGAATGTTTCAAAATCTCCCTTTTTGTTACAATGTCTCGTATTGGAATATCACATTTCTGGTACATCAGATCATCGGATTTGCTATTCCATAACATACCAAGTACTTTTGTGTTTATGTCCATATCTAGTACATTTTCCGTCTTGGCTAGCTTGCGTATATTCTGACTGTTTGACGTCCACGATCGTAGGTTGAATCCGGCGTCTTTCATCATTGTTCTCGCTTCCTTATAATACGTATCAGCCTCATCCTCGTTCTGTAAACTTGTCAGAATGTTGTCCACGTACAAGTCTCTTTCCATCAATGTAGCTGTTTTACTGTTGTAACGTTGTAAATGTTTCAGTATTGTGGCGTTTAGTATAAACGGTGAACAAGTCGCTCCAAAAAAGACGGATTTGAACCTGTAAGTCTGTAAATAACTTGTTGGGTCGGATGGGTTACTTAGCCACAAGAAACGCGTAGCGTCTCGGTCATCCTCGTTTAATCCTACATGTAAAAAGGCTTTCTCAATATCCGTTGTTATGGCGACAGGGTTGGCTCTAAATCTCATCAGAATTTTTGTCAGGTCGTTTAGCTTCGGCGGTGTATCCAAGAGGCAGTCATTCAAGCTTTGCGAATTAGGCGACTGGCGACAACTGCAGTCGTAAACAATTCTGATAGGCGTAGTGCTTGATTCCTTCTGTACTGGATGATGAGGAATGTAGTGTAGTTTTTCTGAAGTTTCTGCTGTTTCATCCACCTTCTCTATGAATCCCCTACGTTCCTGTTCTTGTATGATGTTCCCGTACTTCTTTAACATATCTGGGTTTTGAGTAAGTCTTTTAATGACGTTTTCTGTCCTTCTCTTCGTGACTGCTAAATTTGTAGGCAATTCATCATGATCCTGTTTCCATGGTAACCTAGCGAAATATTTATTTTCTCGGAACTCAATTGATCTGTCCTGATAGGCTTTAATATATGCATCACCGTCTTCGTCTACCTCCTTACTATTTATGCCTATTGATTCTAAATTCCAAAATCTCTCTAGATTGTATTCTTCAACTTTGTGTGATATTAGAACATTAAACATGCTAGTTTTCGACGTGTTAGTTTTCTTACCGTATGTAGGTCCCGAAAGCAAATATCCGATCTTGGATTTCACGGCGGTCGGACCGTTTCCCCGTACAATATGGTCTTCTACAATGTCCCAATAGTGATCTGCGCCTACTAACAACGATATTTCGAATGAATCTTGCTGTGTCATCGTGTGCGCTAACTTTAAACCATGCAAATAACCATTTTGTGTATCAATATTACGTATGTGATTCTGTAGAGGCATGGCTATCATCGGTACTATCAGTACTTTGATTGGCAATACGTGTCCTGCATCGGTTTTCAGATAGATTGTTGTCTTTTCTAGGTGTCTCGCGTTTTTCTCTTCACCTCCAAATGCCGATAAATGTATTATCTCTGTTCCCTCTATCTGTAATTTGAGTTTATTCGCTAAGTTCTGCGTTAAAAACGATCTTTGCGCTCCTTCGTCAAAAAGAATGTTTGTCTCGGTGTAGAGCTGATTCGACCCTACTTGTGCTACGGCGGTTTTCAAAAGTACATTTGAACGCGATTCTGTCGATTGTGAATACAAAATGGTAGTATCTTGTTCCGTTGTATGACTATCATTTACGAGGTGAACGTTTGTCGAATTTGAAGATAGTGGGTTTTGCGGGTTGCTGCTCTGATTATCTTTCGCGCGGAAATTCGTATGTGCTGAGTTACTACCCCCGTTTCTATGGCTTACCTCATGGACTGGTTTTATGCTATTTGTTAGACGTACATTACACAAGCTTGTATGGTGTTTCTTATTACAATGTCTACATGTGTGTTTAGATTTACATTCGTTTAGTCTGTGTTTACCAAGGCAATTAAAGCATAACTTATCACGTTTTACTATGTTCATACGGGATTCTGTGTCGGTTATTTTACTGCAATGGGTAGGTGCGTGTATTTCGTGACAGAAAACGCAAGGTCTAGTCTCAATATTCTTGTAAGATTTGGACTTCGGCAATTTCGCTCCGGCAAAGAAAGACGATGTTGTGGGCAAATTGTGTGTTGACTCTATCTCTTGTCCTGCGTCCATTATATCTATCTCGTCTAATATGCTTTTACGGAGGTCCCGTAATACCCAAGTTTTTGTTCTGTGTTCTCGCGCGAGATGTTTTCTGACTTCCCCGGGTAATTTGTTCATAATAATGGGAACAAGTAACGTGCCGTATGTTTCCTGTGTTTGACCCAAAGCTTCTAATCCCCTGACGTAACCTTCCATTTTATCGTAAAAACTTCGTAAGCTTGTTAACTGATTTCTAGGCGAAGGAATTTCTAATAATGCCTGCATGTATGCATTTATGATTTTATCTTGTTGACCGAACCTCTCTTTTAACAAATTTACGGCTTCATCGTAGTTTACATTTGTTAGTGCGAAACCTGCTATTGATCCTAGTGCTTCATGTTCTAGCTGTGCTTTCAAGTAATTAAATTTTTGTACATTTGTAAGTGACAGATTAAGATGTACGGCCGACTCATATGAGTCCCAGAAAGTTTGCCATTCTAAAATGTTGCCTGAGAAGGTTGGAAGCGAAAGTTTTGGTAGGCGGTGACTCTGATTACTAGTTGACGAAAATGTACTTTGTTGCGTGTTAAATGTGTGACTGGCTTGTACAGACGGGTTTTCAAACGACTGTGCGTTGTGTGGGTTGGTTATGTTGTGCGTTGGAACAAACGGTATAGTTTCTGGATTTAACGTGTGAGTTGTAGTATGTGATTCAATATGACGGGACTGCGGGGTTTGGACATTTTGTATGAACTTACGTATGTGTCGAATCTTCGTTTCCATAGTCACTGAATATTCATCTGAATCAATAATCTCATTTTCCACATCTTCCGGTTCTGTTAACTTGAGAATTTGTTCATTTAAGTCCTCAAACAATGTTTGTTTTTGCACAAGTTTTCCGAGCGTTGCAAAGACTTCTTCTTCATCGAAATTCGTATTCTCCTTTGCTTCATCTAACCTGCGGAATAGTCTGGTAACAGCGCTTCTGTTCCCAGATCGAACTGATTTCAATTTTTCGAGATCCATTGGTCACGGTACCATAAATATAGATGATAGTTAGGCAATGTGTATAAAGACAACTGTTCAGCCATTACATTTTATATACAACTAACGTATTTCCGCCCAAGGCGACGTCACTGACAATACGACGTCGACAATGGAAAAGTACAATAGTACGGACGTTATGTTCCCGCGACAATCTCAACAGTACTAAGGTCAGGTTTAGGAATTTTTGTCAGATGTTCGGACTCCTCGGTTTTTTCCCTACGATACAGGGTAAAATATTTTGCCCCATAACACCCATTTTTCTTTTCATATAAGACTTCAATAGCTCATAAATAGTCATTTACCAAAATTTAAGCAGAATCTAGATTTATTTTCTTTCGATTTGAGACCTAAGTAATACCAATGCAAATATAAGGTAAAAGTCAGAGTCAGCCTTTTCCTGCCATTTTTTAAAAATTAAATATCTCGAAAAGCAGCTCCATAACCTATCACTATTTCTAGCTGATTTTGTTCCTTAACTAATGCTCTTCTGATTTATAAAAGTACATCCTTAAGGTAGAATATAGTCAAACCTGTAATAAGAGACCACTAAAGGGAGAAGACAAAAGGGATCCCTTAAAACAGGTGGTCTTTGAATACAGACTCACACATTTGACTAGATGGGTAAATAATGTGCATAATTTTAGCATGTACTAATGAATTAAGTGAATTATACTGCATTGGTCTCACGTGCATCCCCACCAATGTATGTAAATGTGTTATGAATGAAAACTAGAGGCTCTAAAGAGCCTGTGTCGCTCACCTTGGTCTATGTGCATATTAAACAAAGGACAGAGATGGATTCATGACAAAATTGTGTTTTGGTGATGGTGATGTGTTTGTAGATCTTACTTTACTGAACATTCTTGCTGCTTACAATTATATCTATCTATAATGAACTTGGCCCAGTAGTTACAGTGGAAAATATTTTGTAAAAAATTTACAAAAATTTACAAAATTTATGAAAATTGTAAAAAATTGACTATAAAGGGCAATAACTCCTTAAGGGGTCAATTGACCATTTTGGTCATTGTTGACTTATTTGTAGATCTTACTTTGTTGAACATTATTGCTGTTTACCGTTTATCTCGATCTATAATAATATTCAAGATAATAACCAAAAACGGCAAAATTTTCTTAAAATTACCAATTCAGGGGCAGCAACCCAACAACGGGTTGTCAGATTCATCTGAAAATTTCAGGGCAGATAGATCTTGGCCTGATAAACAATTTTACCACATGTCAGATTTGCTCTAAATGCTTTGGTTTCAGAGATAAAAGCCAAAATCTACATTTTACCCCTATGTACTATTTTTTAGCCATGTCGGCCATCTTGGTTCGCAGGGGGTTATCGGACACATTTTTTAAACTATATACCCTAATGATGATTGTGGACAAGTTTGGTTAAATTTGTCTTAGTAGTTTCAGAGGAGAAGATTTTTGTAAAAGATTACAAAAATTTACGAAAAATGGATAAAAATTTACTATAAAGGGCAATAACTCCTTAAGGGGTCAACTGACCATTTTGGTCAAGTTTGACTTATTTGTAGATCTTACTTTGCTGAACATTATTGCTGTTTACAGTTTATTTCTATCTATAATAATATTCAAGATAATAACCAAAAACGGCAAAATTTCCTTAAAATTACCAATTCAGGGGCAGCAACCCAACAACGGGTTGTCAGATTCATCTGAAAATTTCAGGGCAGATAGATCTTGACCTGATAAACAATTTTACCCCCATGTCAGATTTGCTCTAAATGCTTTGGTTTCAGAGATAAAAGCCAAAATCTACATTTTACCCCTATGTTCTATTTTTAGCCATGGTGGCCATCTTGGTTGGTTGGCCGGGTCACAGGACAAATTTTTTAAACTAGATACCCCAATGATGATTGTGGCCAAGTTTGGTTTAATTTGGCTAAGTAGTTTCAGAGGAGAAGTTTTTTGTAAAAGTTAACGACGACGGACGACGGACGCCAAGTGATCAGAAAAGCTCACTTGGCCCTTTGGGCCAGGTGAGCTAAAAAAGTTAAATAAAATCTTTTTGTATTGTACATTGCAATTCTGTCATGCCAAATTTTCTATATCAATAGGGGTTTTCAATATTATAGACAAAACTTGCAATTAAATCCTATGTTCTATTTTTAGCCATGTAAGTCATATTGGTTGGTAGGTCGGATCATATGACACAATTTTAAACTACATATCCCAATGATGATTGTGGCAATGTTTGGTTACTTGAAGGTATGTTCTGATGGAAGGTATTTGCTAAATACACTAAAAAAGTAAGAAAGGGTGATAATTTCTACCTCAGGTATTTCAATGACAGGTTCTACTATATTTATTATCATAAAAGGTAAAGAAAGGGAGATAATTCTTACCTCTGGTATTTCAATGACAGGTTCTGCTATATTTATTATCATAAAAGGTAAAGAAAGGGAGATAATTCTTACCTCTGGTATTTCAATGACAGGTTCTGCTATATTTATTGTCATAGCAGCTTCTTCTGCCTCTTTCTCCGCCTTCTCAAGGTCGTCTTTTAGCTGCTTTATTTTTTCTGCAAATGTTTTGTTTTTTACATATTTTTATTTTCAAATCTTAATAGATACTTATGTAAAAATAGAAAATAAGCGTATAATACAAGGGGTACAATAAAAAGCAACAAAGTCAAAACTATTAATTTGATCACATACATGTGCTTTACCATGGATCAATCAAAATGAAATGGGGTGGGGGGGGGATTCAAAATGAGCAAATATTGCCATTGCCCAGAATTATATTTTTGACAATTCAGAAAATATAAACTGATCAAAATAATAGATGAACAAAGTATACTAAAGTTTTATCTGCAGTTAGATTCGAAGGAAATACCGTTATCTACTAGAGCAAACTATTATCTTCTAATTCAAATTATATACTGAACAAGTATATTATCATGAAATATAGTTAGGCGTAGAAGTTTGATAGATTTTTCTATTATACTACCTTTTTCTTTCATCATCTGTCTTTCCAATTCCTTGATTCTTTCAACATTGTTGGAAATTTGTATCTGAAAGAACATGTCTGTACAATTAAAAGCATGATGTGGTGATATCTTCTAATGATAGAAAAAATCTGAAATGAGACATCCTTTTGCTCAGGTTATTTCACAAGAAGTTATGCTTTAAATTTCTAGAAAAGAAACTTACTTATTGTCAATGATTTAACTTACTTACCACCATAAAATAACATTTTTTCACATAAATGCTTTTAAAATTTTTCAATCAGCATTAATTTCTATCTTAACAGGATTTTTAATGACACATGAACTCCTGTTCATTTATTATGCATGTATTCCTGCAATGAATATTAGGCTAACAGGAAGCTGATGAGTGATGGACGTGAAAATGCATCATACTAGCTATATATAGTGAATTGCAAAGTGTTTGGAGACCAAAAGCAAATGTGCATGACAAAACTAAAATGTATTTTAATTTATTACTGATATGTGTAACTGACTTATATATGCCTTGTGAACATCTAATATATGTTGTCTGCTAGAGTATTTTGTTTGATAGGCTGTAATGCTTTCAAAATTTTAAAATTCAAGCACAAAATAAGTAGCCTTGTCCATTATTTCATTTCAAAATGATTTTTTTTCCTCATGAATCTGGTATATTATGAAAAATCTTTCCTTGATAAAAATGTACCTTTGACTTCTCTAACTGTTCTTCTGTATCTTTGACCTTCTGTACTAATTCAGGGTCAACAACTTTTATAATTACTATTAAAGAAAAAAAAAAATTGTAAATATCTAGACTAAAACAATTTAAATACAAGAGTTGAAATTCCAGACATAAACAAGTGAAACTGCGAGCTACTTCTCACTGATGATACCCCCGCCCAAATATTTTGGTAAACAGGAAGTTGTTGAGTGATGAATCTGAAAACACATCACACAGTATAGCTGACTAATATAAACCCTGAAATCAAATTTCAAAAATCCTTATGATGCAGTTCCTGAGAAAGCTGCGACCAAAAAAATTCATGAGACAGATGGACGGACTGACGGTTGGACTGATAGGCAGATGGATGGATGGACGGACTGACGGTTGGACGGATAGACGGATGGATGGATGGATGGACGGATGGACTGATGGATGGACGGATGGACGGACGAACAGACGGACAGAAAGACAGAGGTAAAACAGTATACCCCAACTTTTTTAAAGCGGTTGTATAATAAGGTACTGTGGATTCAATTATTTTGATTGGTACCGATTTCTGTGGATTGGGGACACATTGAATTTTGGTGGACACTTTGATTTCATGGTTTTGAGAAATTCACCATAAAAAAAATGAAAACAACACTTTATAAATTTCATGTGTCCAAAACGCTTTCCTGGATTTACCTTCAACAGGAACATTCAAAGATGAATATTTAGAAACCAATGATGTATAAGAACCAAAACAGTTGAAGAGCTTTATGACTAAAAAAGACCTAAAAAAAATAGCCAAATAAATCTAAGGTCAACTTTGTCTGAGTGAGTTGAAACCTTAGTTTCTTAACAATGTCTAAATTTTTAAAAGGACAATTTAAGAAAGGTTAGTTATAAATCACGACAGTACCGAAGTACTGACTACTGAGCTGATGATACCCTTAGGAATTGTTAGTCCACCAGCAACTGTATCTACCAATTTCTGTAAAAAATGAAAACATCACTTTATAAATTTCATGCAACCCAAGTGCCTTTCTGGATTTACCTTCATCAGGAAAGCTCAAAGCCAAATTTTTGAAAGCCAAAGATGTGTAAGAACCCAAACAGTTGAAGACCTATATGACCAAAAAGTACCTAAAATAAATAACAAAATCCATAACAAAAATAATAAAAAAAATCCATAAAATAAATAATAGCCAAATCCATATAGAGATCAAGTCTTCAGGACATTTGTATGTCAGTAAACATCTAAATATGTGGTTCTACAATACCTATGAATTCATAAAAAATTAGTATCCCTCGAGTAATTATGAATTCATTGTTACTTTTCGATACCAAAAGCACTACATCAGTGTACAAGGTAAATCAAGTGAAATAATTGAGGGCCTGGATGGGGGTTACTGTAAATTCCAAAATTATTTGCGAGGTTTTTATTAATGTGAATAATGTGACTGGGTGAGTATTGCAATATAAAGAACTCACATTCTGATATCTGATACATATATCTGAATGCAGCTTTTCTGGAAATTGTAATAATTAATCTCGCATTTTTGTCCATTCTTCAAATAAACAGCTGCGCCATGAGCGCATGATACACCCGTCGTCTTGTGTGTGAATTTTTATGCAATAATCATAAATAGTTTCTGACATACGGCGCGACATGCGAAAACCCCCCTTTTTTTTTTCAAAAAACTCAATATCTCTAAAATAAAATTTTGAATCAAAACCAAAAAGTATACAGATCTTTAGATTAATATAACTAAGAAGTTTGTAAAATTTTAAGCAATAATCATTAATCGTTTTTGAGATACGGTGCGACATGTGAAAACCCCCTCCCCTTTTTTTACAAAATACTCAATAACTCAAAATGGAATTTTGAATCATCACCAAAAAGTATACAGATCTTAAGATTAATATAACTAAGGAGTGTGTAAAGTTTTAAGCAATAATCATAAATTGTTTTTGAGATACGGCGCGACATGTGAAAAAAAACACACACCTGTTTTAGTTACTAAGTCCCGTAACTCAAAAAGTTTTAATCTTATTTTCACCAAAAAGTATATAGATCGTTTGACCATCATAAGAAACAACTATGTAAAGTTTCATGAAATTTGGATAAGTCGTTCTCAAGTTATGGTGCGACATGTTTACGCCGGACAGACAACATTTGTATAATATAATATGTCCCGTCAAAATTTTGACGGGCGTATAAAAACGCAGATTTTAGATTTCTTTTCTTTTGATTTGAGACCCAAATAATACCAGTGCAAATATAAGGTATATTTGTCACAGTCAGCCTTTTCCTGCCCTTTTTTTAAAATTAAATATCTCGAAAAGGAGCTCCATAACCTATCAATATTTTTAGCTTATTTTGTTCCTTAACTAATGCTCTTCTGACTTATGGTATTAATTTTAAATTCTCTATTTTTTTTAAATTCACCTAAGTACATCCTAAAGATGACATGAACTCCCAACAAAACTAAAAGTAAAACCAAATGCTTTGGAATAACATGGGGCAGATGTATCTCCTAGGGTAAGAAAGCAGTAATCCTAACATCTAATTATAGATTGAGTTAAATACAAAGGAAGAATAATGTCTGAAATTTCCCACAAAATCAAAAACAATCTTATTATACCAAATTTCTTCAAAGGCCATAAAGGAAAAGTGAATCCCCAGGACTCGACAATAACGCTTGTCCGATTGTCCGATACCAGAGGAAAAAAAGGTCGGACAAGTAAAAGCTATATCAAGCTTGTCCGACGGGACAAGTTAAATTATTATGCAGAAAATAATTTTAATCCAACTTTGATGAACAAAGTAATTATAAACAAAAAAACAAGAAAAGAAGATATACACTAGTATTAATTTGACATGTTTACTTGCAATCGATAATTTAAAACTGGTTCTTTGTCAGGTACTTTTTAACAGGTATAAAGTCATACTATTCTCGGAAACCAGTCTTACTGATCATAATCAACGATGCGCTTTGTAGATAAGGTAACTTTACAAGACAGTTCGTCACCAGCTCGTAAACGATTCGGCTCCAAGTTTAATAGACAGTTTGGCACCGTAGGAGACATATTTAAAAAACATGATTAATTATAGACAGTTTGACAACGCAGGAGACAGGAGACATTTCGGGACCAAGACAAATCAGTACCTCGTTTTCCTACCTTATTCTGTTGCTTTATAATAAATACCATACCGTAATTTTTTTAACAAAAATATTTTTTAAATAAAAAAATGAAGAAGTTATTTACCATAAAATTCCCAAATCATATTTGATCATATATAGAAGAAAAAACAATACTTGCAAAACGGTGACCTATAGTTTTTAATTTCTGTGTCATTTTGGTCTCATGCAGAGAGTTATTTCATTGGCAATCATACCTCATCTCCTATTTTTTTATTGATTGAATTTGAATAAACTTTTTTCAACTTATAAAAACCAGGATACAAATCCAATGAGTGGAAATTGACAGGCCTATCAGACGGTGCCTTGTGTGTAGAGTCTGATGAGACTTTGGCATTGATGAAAACTAGAACCTAAGTCCTGTGACATGACTAGATTCAGTTGTTCTCGACTCATATTTTTAAAAGGTATTTCAACAGATATAAATCAAATTCTGTTCTATTGTTTTAATTCATTTTGTTCCTTGAATCAACTTAAAATGCAAAAAAGGTTATTATTAAGATTTTTTGTTGGACAAGTTACAATTTCATTCGGACAAGTAAGTTTTGGTATGTACTTGTCCTACTGGACAAGTTGGAAAAAAAGTTATTGTAGAGGCCTGATCCCCTGGTTTAGTGGTGAAACTAATTTTCCAACAGTTTGTTGTAATCTTGAGACAGACAATGATAATCTTCTCACACACATTTCTTTAGGGGAACATCAGGAAGTGAAGTGGAGGTTACCTTTCTTGGGAGGAACATCAGGAGGTGAGGTGGAGGTTACCTTTCTTAGGAGGAACATCAGGAGGAGGAGGAGGGGGTTCAGCTGCCTTAGCCAGCTCTGCTTCCTTCTTTAATAATTCTTGTTTAGCAGATGCTTCTTTGTCCAGGATTTCTTTCTCCATGCCCTTTGATTTCTGTTCAGCACCCATCAATTTCTTTGTCAATTCTTGATTTCTTTTCTCTTGTGATTCCTAAAAAAAAATATGTTCAAATGTAAGGCACTAGCCACAAGTGCATTTTTTTTTAATAAAATGAAGTTCAAAATTATAATCCAAAAAGTGCATTGAATATTAATATTTTTTTCCTACTTTTTGCTTCTATAAAGACAAATTTTGCAATTTTTTAACTATCAAAAGAAATTTAAGAAAATGCTGCATACAAATATTGCTATCAAAATATAAAAAAAATTGCAATTCCGATAATAAAAACATCACAAAAATTTATGAATTCTAGATTAAACATAAAATTTATAAATTTTTTCTGATAAATAACCTTGTTACTATTTTATATTCTTCCACTACTATGTTTAACTTACAATTAACTTAGCTTTTTCTTCCACTTCTCTTGTCATTCTTCGAATATTCTTCTTCAGTTCTTCAGCTTCTTGGTGTTTCTTCTCTACAGCTGCTTTGGCATCCAACAATTTCTAAAAATATAACAGTTATAAAAATTTCTTTTAATACAGAAGTTATCACTATTTTTAATTTCATCAGGCCAACACATAAGGGCAAGGGGTAAGATTATTTCATTATATAGCTGTTTTGGCATCTAACAGTTTGTTTAAAAAATACAGATATATATATAGATTCTATAACCACTGCATCAAGTGTTATACAATTTGTTTGTGCTCACAACAGTTAAATTCTTATATTTAAAATGTGAGGCTGAATTGTTGTTGAGAATTATATATATGGTAGTGCATGAGATTGTATGGTTGAATCTGTTTCTGAAGATATGTAGACAAACTAAATCTTTCTTTTTCTATGTGATGTCATTAGGCATGGTCGTCTTTTTTCACCACACATTAGGAAATTCAGAGCTAATGATGCTCTGTTGCTCACCTGCATCTTCAACAAAGGCCACATACTTTTTGGTAACAAAAGTCTGTAATATAAAGTCTTTACTACAAATATCACATATCACATCAATGTTCTATGAAAATGAGGTCACACTCACAGTCAGATGAGCTATGCCAGACAGACATGTACACCTTACAGTCATTCCATTCACCTAAGTACCCGAGAAACAGATCAAACCACAAAATCTTAACATTGACCAATGAACCATGAAAATTGGGTCAAGGTCATATGAACCCTACCAGACAGACATGTACACTTACAATCATTCCATACACAAAATATAGTTGACCTATTGCATATAGAATCTGATAAACTGACAAAATTATCAAATCTTAATCATTGACCAATGAACCATGAAAATAAGGTCAAGGTCATATGAACCCTGCCAGACCAACATGTACAACTTACAATTGTTCCATACACCAAATATAATTGACCTATTGCTTATAATATCAAAGAAATAGACCAAACCACAAAAACTAAACATTGTTCAATGAACCATGAAATTGAGGTCAAGGTCAGATGAAATCTGCCAGTCAGACATGTACAACTTACAATCATTCCATACACTAAATTTAGTTGACCTAATGCTTATAGTATTTGAGATACTGACTTGACCACGTAACTTTCACTTTGATCACTGATCCATGAAATGAGGTCAAGGTCAGGTAAACCCTGTAAACTGACATGTAAACATTGCAAGGAACCCATATACCAAATATGGTTATCCTACTACTCATATTAAGTCAGTATTTCACTTGACAAGAAAACTGTGATTTATTTTTAAGCAGTCACTGAACTATGAAAATGAGGTCAAGGACAATGGACATATGGCAGATGGAATCTTCGTAACATAAGGTATCTGAATACAAGATATGAAGTATCAGTTCTTCTACTTTCTAAAATATAAAGCTTTATACAAATAGTTAATGCCCACCTAACTGCTGCGACGCCACCAAATTGTAATCCCTATGTCTGGCATTCTGCGATTTTTGTCACAGAATTGACAAAATTCATTATTAAAAGGGCAATAATTCTATAAAGAGTTAACTGACAATTTCAGTCATTTTGACATATGTGTAGATCTTGTCCTGCTGATCATTTTTCCTTATTGAAGTTTTTATCTATCTATTTAAGTTTTCAAGATAACAGGCAAAAACACAAAAAATAAACTGCTTCGCTGAGCGCAGCTGGATACGCTCGCAGAGGTCCAACCCTGAACAGTTGGGGCAAAAATGGACACAATATTCAAGCTTGATACAGGTCTGAATTTGGATTGTAATTAAATATTTGACATATTATAGGTTTCTGAATAAATGTAGTCAAAGAACTTGAAATTGGTTATATGAATTGAATTTATATTCATTTAAAGATTTCTTGCTGTTGTGCAATACACTGTGCTGTTGCGCAATACTTAGTAAATCTGTTGTCAGACTATAAACAAATAAAGTTCAATTTCTTCTCAATGTCATATTTGAAATTTATGAAAATCAATAGCAAGATTACATCAATAGCTATAAATAATTCACCAAAGTTTCATGAGAACTGCTGAAAGCATTTTTGAGTTATTGTCCAAAAACTGGAAAATCCCCCCTTTTTTAATTAATAAAACCCCATAACTCAGAAATGTGAAATCTAAAATTTATAAAATTCTAAAGGGAGCTTACATTAACAGATATAAATAATTCACCAAAGTTTCATGAGAACTGCTGAAAGCATTTTTTAGTTATTGTCGGAAAACTGGAAAATCACCCTTTTTTTAATGAATAAAACCCTGTAACTCTGAAATGTAAAATCTAAAATTTATAAAAATCAAAAGGGAGCTCATTTCAATAGATATAAACAATTCACCAAAATTTCTTGCAAGTTGGTGAAAGCATTCTTGCGTAATTGTCAGAAAACTGGAAAATCCCCCCTTTTTTAATGAATAAAACCCCAAAACTCAGAAACGGTAAATTTGAAATTTATAAAAAACGAAAGGTAGCTCGTGTCAATAGATATAAACAATTCACCAAAGTTTCATGCATATTGGTTAAAGCTTTTTTGAGTTAATGTCCGACATGTTGACCACGGATGGACGGACGGACAGACAGACAGACGGACGGTCAACGGTATACCATAATACGTCCCGTAAACGGACGTATAAAAAGGTAAAAATCTCCATTAAAGGGAAATTAATCTCAATAGGGAGTTAACTGACAATTTTGGTCATGTTGACATATTTGTAGATCTTGTCCTGCTGATTTTTTTTTAAGTAACTGTCTATCTCTTTCAGTTTTCAAGATAATAGGCAAAAACAAAACAAAACAAAAATGATTAAAATCATCATTAAAGTACAATAACTCTCATAACCAACCAACTGAAGAATTCATCAATGATAGCTTACTTGTAGATCTTGTCCTGCTGATCATTTTTGCTATTTAAAGTTTCCATCTATCTATTACAGTTTTCAAAATCAAAAATGCAAAATATTGGGAAAAGTTGTCATCAAAGGACAATTACTCCAATAAGGAGTCGACTGACGATTTCGTTCATCCAACTTATTTGTAGATCATGTTTTGTTGATCAATTTTCCCTTTTAAAGTTTCTACGTATCTATTATAGTTTTCAAGATAATAGGCAACATTTCTAAATATTAGGAAAAATCCCTCATTAAAGGGCAATAACTTAAATAAGGAGTTGCCTGACAATTTTGGTCATGGTGACTTATTTGTAGATCTTGTCTTGCTGATCAGTTTTGCTCAATAAATTTTCTCTCTATCTATTACAATTTTCAAGATAAGCAATAATGCCAAAAATTGGGAAAATCATCATTAAAGGGCAATAACTGTAATAAGGAGTAGACTGACGAATTCAATCATGGTTGACTAATTTATAGATCTTGTCTTGCTGATCATTTTTGCTTTTTAAAGTTTCTGTCTATCTATTATAATTTTCAAGATTATAGGAAAAATGAAACAAATTGTTAAAATTTGTCGTCAAAGGGCAATAACTCCTATAAGAAGTTGTCTGACAATTTTGATGTTGATAGACAGAAGGTAGTTTTCACCATTCTGAACATTTTTGCCCCTTCAGATTACCTCTATCTATAGGGGTTTTCAAGATAATAGACATAAATTGCATTTTACCCTTATGTTATTTTTAGCCATGTTGGCAATGTTTGTTGGCAGGCAGTTAATCGGACAAATTTTTTCAAATTAGAAAACTAAATACCCCAATGATGATTGTGGCCAAGTTTGGTTAAATTTGGCTCAGTAGTTTCAGAAAAGATGATCTTAGTAAAAGTTAATGGACAATGACAGATGGCAGATGGAGGATGTGAAGTGGTGGCAAATGCTCACACCAGCTCTTTTGACAAGGTGAGCTAAAACTTGTAAAATTTTTCATTTAAGGGCATTAACTCCTATAAGAAGTTGTCTGACAGTTTTGATGTAAATGGACAATCGGTAGAGCTCAACATTATGAACATTTCTGCCCCTGTCAGAATTTCTCTTCTTATATATATATATATAGTGGCTTTCAAAATAATACACAAAACTTGCATTTTACCCCTATGTTCTATTTATAGCCATGTCAGCCATGTTTTCTATTTATAGCCATGTCAGCCATCTTGGTTGGCAGGCGGGGCCATCGCACAAATTTTTAAACTAGATATCCCAATGATGATTGTTGCCAGGTGAGTTTAAAAGACAAGTCATATTAACCCTGCGTCAGAACATCTTTCTAAGTAATAGAAATTTTTAAAGTCAATCAGACAAGGGAAAATTTTGAAAGGGAAAATTCGAAAAGAAATGAAAAATTGAAATTGTGTTCCTTTTGTATAAATAAACATAAATTCAATAATATTTATGTTTTATTCCACTGGATAAGTGCGCAAAATTGATATTTAATCTCTCTACCGATCCAAGACCATTTGCCATCTTGACAGCATCTAGGTTTCCAATAATCACCTGATATCTTATTACCACAAAGTCCCAAAACCAGTATGACATACAAGTGGTCATCAATCAGTATTGGTAATAGTTAAAATGGATTCTTCCATTCCATAATTGAATCTATTTTAATTCAAGAAATCTGTGATTGACAAAAAAGGATCGAGGACAGGCATTTAACTGGGTTTTTAGTCTATAATATTTTCTTTCCCCTCTAAACAAGGATTTGTGTAGTTAAAACTTGCAATACTAATCTTTGGTCTAAATGCTATTTTTTAGTCTGCGTTTGGAATGACAATATTGTTAATAATTCTTTATTCGTAAAACAAAAAATTTGTGTGGTGGCTTAAAATATATTCTTGTACGTGTTGAAACATTGAAAAAAAAATTCAAACTCCGAACTGTATTGAAAGGCAAATCTTGTTCCATGATTTTCTAACTTCGTTGCATTTTTTGTTCCCCTATCTGGATGGTTCAAATAAAGTCAAAACAACTGTCAATCAATTATCAAAGGCTATTGTATTGCATGATTGGCTGTCCTTAATGTAAGTAAATCATCGCACGCCTGCTGTTATATACGATTCTTAACTCGGGGATTTAAAAAGGTACTAAGATCGTTGCCATGAATATATATG